TTATAGAGTAATCTTTAAAATAAGGTGATTAAAGAAGATTTTAGATTTATTGTAGGATAACAAATACTTATTATAAAAGACATCCAAATAAAAATACTGGAGTTGGAATTATTCAAATGTTAAATTTTTTAGAACATGAAAATCCTTTAATTAGATATAATACTAAAACATGGTTATCTGAATCAGCTCCTTTCTTTTTCAGAATATTAGATCCAATTATGTTAAGATTAATTAGTTTTTAAAAAGATATTGAAAAAAAAAATGAATTTTCACTTGATTTAGCTGTTGATTCAATAAAAAAGTTGTAATCATTATATTCATCTAAAGAATGGTTTTAACCATATATTGAAAAAACTAAACCAACATTTTATGAAGATGAGAATATCAATACATATTATAAATTAATATGTTTAACCCTTATTTAATTTATAGTTGCTGATTTTTAAAATAATGAATATACAAAAATAAATGCTATTAGTGCAGAGCTTTTAGAAATTGTTATAAATAATACAATAAATGAAAAGAGTAAAACCTAAATTTTAATCTCATATTTTAATATTATTTTAAATAAGTTTGATTAAGTAATAAAAAGTAGAGATTAAGTATTATAATTATAACTGTTAAATTTAGTTAAAGTTTTTTTGCTTCATACATATGAATTATAAAAAGATTTGACACCAGAAAATAAAGTAAAATTAATAGATATTTATGATTAATAACTCTTTTTTGATAATCTTGTAATTGGATTAAAATTAGCTAAAGTTTACTATCTTAAATAAAGATATTTAAATACTATAGTTGTTGGGATTTATTCTATAAGTTATTTATTGCCTCCAAAAATACTAAATGAAAAGATTATATTGATAATAACAACTTTATTAGCATTACTAAAATAATGTGAATATAATAGTAGTCAAATAGTAAAATCATTTAGACGTATTTCAAATGTGAAAATCTTAAAAAATCAGAAACCAGAATTTAATACTAATAATTTCTAATAAGTTAATATTTAATAATTAGATAATGAATAACTTTAAATAAAAACAACACTATCTGGAGATGATTTTGAAGAAGTAATGTCATTATCTAATTCTATAAGAGCAATAATTTGTTATTTTTTCTAATTCAAATATGATTCTAAAGAAATTGATCAAAGACCAAATGCAGCAGGTGTTTTGGTAGATTTATTTACACTTAATCTTTTTTTCAAAAAAACTGATAAATAATTAAAATTATAAAAATAACAAGAATAATTATAATTTGAAAATTTTCCTGATACTTGTTAGATGCTTTTAAAATTATTTCCATAAATTATATAATCCTATTTAGAATGTTGGAGATGTACTTTAAAATGGGATCATCTTTTTAATAAAGGTTGTTTTATTTATGAATATGATAAATTTGATTAATTTAATAAGTAGCTTAAAGATTAATTATGTAAATAAGAAGAAGATTATTCTGATGAAGATTAAATTTAGTAATCAATATTATAATTATTAAAACCTTGTTCAACACAGTTTACTACTAAATTAATATAATCCTTATTATTAATATGGTAAAATGAATATTCAGTAAATTTTTATGCAGATCCTAAAATTAATATTAATATGTGTAAACTTATTGAAATAGCAATAACTCTTTAAATATCTCCAGATGATTTTATTGCTGCATTTATTAATACATAATAAATTTAAGGTATAATGTCTTATTATTAAAAAAATAAATATAAAAAAGGTCCATATCAATTTAATTATGATTAAGCAACATTTGAAAATGGTATATTATTCTTTTTATATACTTATTTTTCATCAGTTTTATTTTAAAATCTTAAAAACAAAGAATTGATAAGATTATGGAATGGTTTTCTATCAATTTCAAAACCCTTACTATAATCTAGACATATTAATACAATATGTTTTTTATTGGAAATCATTCATCTAATGTCATGGAAATTCTCTCCAAAAGATGTCTTGGAAGAATTCAGAAAAGAGTTACATACATAATTAAGATAGATTTTGGTAATTTTGGCTGAAATAGCATCTATGTAATATTAATATTTGACTTTTACTTCATCTTCACTTGAAAACTTTAATTAATCTTAATTTGATTAAAATTTATAACTTATTGTCCCTTTCACTCCAACTATATTTGAACTCTATACTGAATATTATTAATTAAGATAAAAAGATGTTGAAAAAACAGAGGAAGGATGGAATGAATGTTTTGTGTAAAGAAATTTATTTGATCCATATCAATAGAAAGGTTTGAAATTAGAATAACAAGATTTCTCTAAGAAATGTTCAATTATAGCCTTAAAAACATTAAAAAGATTATCATAAGTTACTTTAATAAATACTTATGAAGTATCAAGAGGAGAAAGAATTGTTGAAAATACTAAAGAATTTATGACATTAATTTTTCCTTTGATAGAAGATAAAGATAACTAAATTATAGTAGAATCAGCTTCAGAATTACTACATTCTATACTCAAACTTTCAAAAGATTAACTTTCTTAATTATTTTTAAATGATATTTTAAATATTTTCAATAAATAAGAATTTTTTAAGTGCACAGGTAGATGTTTAAAATTCTGGACTGAAATTATTGATATAATATCAGAAAAAACAGATTTATTGACAGAATAATTGGGAAATAATTCAAAAATTCTTTAAGGATTTACTGGGTTATTTCAGAGTAAATCAGCAGAAATATTAAAAAAGACAAAAGGATTTGAAAGAGTTTGTTTTATAATATATTCAGGAGGTGTAGATAAATATTAATCTAAATTGTCTAGTTTATTAGATGCAATTTTAACAGTTATTAAGGATATTAATTAACAACATGAAGCAATAACTATATTAATTATTTTTTGTATCAGAATCTTAGTTTTAAGATTAAGTTAATCATCATTAACATAAGTCTTTCGAAAAATATGGCCTTATTTAATTAGTATGTTAATCTAAATTTTTGATAGAAAGGGAAAATAAGCAAATCCATATTTGTTGATTTCAGGTTTAAAATTAATAGAACTTTTCTCATTGTTTCAACTTGAAGAGTTTTATTTTTATGAATGGATATTTGTATTTGATTGTAATATATTATTAAATTATATTAGATTTTGGTATAACAATCAATTTTCAATAAGTGGAATAATAATAATAATAATAAAAAGTAAAAATTGTAACTCCATATAAATTTATACCTTATATGGCTTATTAATTTCCTATTACAGCCCAATATAATGTTGATTATGAAAATAAATTATATCCAGATTAATATTAACAGAACTTATTAAAGAAAAAACGTTTAGTGAAAATTAAAGATGTCTAAGAAGTTCAAGTATCAATAGTTTATGTTATATTGTAGGAATTTGAATCTAAGTTGAGATAACAAGCATTATACTTATGCCAACATTTAATTGATATAAACTAATAAAGAGTGGAAGTCAGTCCATAATCCTTAGAGGAAATAATTGAAGCTGAATTCATAAGTTTAGATGATTACATAAGTAGAATATAATGATTCTGAAATATAATTTATAGCAATTTTCAACTTATTTAAATAATTTGTTTATTTAAATGAATATTCAAAAATAAATGATTTATTTGATTTTAATAACAAATACATAATTTTGAGATTTATAGAAATCTTAAAAATGTTTTAAAATATTAATCATATTATAAGACATATTAATATAAATAAATAATCATTTATTACGACTTATTGGTATTGGATATGTATAAAAATGCCATAAATTTCTAAATACTTTTGAAACACTTTATTTTGGTTTAATAATGGACTATTTGTTTAAATAAAACTAATCTTCTGATTTCACCTATTTTACTGTTTTTCCCTAGAATAATATATTGAGATTTTTCTACTAATGATATATAATAGCAATTAAGAATATTAACTTGGAGAAGGAAACAAAAGCATATTAGAACTATGATTGTAATCAAGATAGTTATAAATGGATTATCGTAATATCTATAATTTTTATATGCTTCTTCAATATTAATTAGTATGGCTGAGTATATTATCGGAAGAATGAACATAAACATTAAAATTATGACATTTAGATAACTTTATTGAGCCCAACAACCACAAAAAAAATATAATCCATAAATTGCTATAATAGGAATGCTAGCCTATTTAAACATTAAAAGCCAGAGTTCTTAAATATCAAAATATTAATTATACACTTTTTGTATAAATAAAATATTTACAATTTAATGAACATTAACATAATGTAAGAATAATTACAATTAAGGATGATTGTAAAAATAATAAAAAAGCTCTTTAATTTCTTATCCCTATACAATTACCAACCCAAAAACAATGATGATCAAAACCATCAACACAATGATCACAAAATTTGCCTAATTAACTTTTAGAACTTACAATGTGAAGCCTTAGATGGTCTCATAATTTTACAAGTTGAACAATATCTGACTTTATAAATACTAGGTAATTCAATATTTTATTCCATTTAATTTTATGACTCTGTAATTAATAAAATTTAATTCTATCCATTTCTTTATATTTATTCCTCTAAAATATTTTAATTAGATAAAGAAGTTTATTCAAGTTCTTAAATTAATTACTATTATTATTATAATTTTGGATCAGGTAAATCTCCTCTAAGCAAGACCCCAGGTTCTAAAAAATAATAATATACAAATCCAACCTGTCATTGTAACATTCAGAAATGTTAAGATAGGAAGTATACAAAATATTGCAATTATAATTGCTAGAGTATTATATTAATAATCAAGTGCAGCAGGAAATATAAAAATTAAGTACAACATAATAAGAATTACAATTAAAATTAATGTTCCTATAATATTAGGCAAGTCTTTCTAATAAGATATAATTAATTAAACTTTTGCTCCTAAGAGGATGTTGCCTTTACATCTAGTAAATGCTTCAAATGATTTTTAATTATCTGTAGTTTCAATTTACTCAAAAAAATGTAATATTTTCTTCATTATATATTAAAAATTTAATTTATGAGAAAGCTTAAATTCCATGAGAAAAAGTTATTAAAGAGAGTTGATTTATATAATTGGAAGAAAGAAAAAGATCATAGAGAAGCTGAAATAATCAAAAGATATAATTTATCTAATAGAGAAGATTACGATAAATATAATAGGATGTGTGGTCACATTACTTCCATGATTTCTAAAATTAAATTATTGTCATCTTAAGATCCATTTAGAGTAAAACTAACTGAGTAATTATTGGAGAAATTGTATAACATGGGTATTATTACAACAAAAGATAACATATTGAATTGTGAGAAATTAGCAGTATCAGCTTTTTGTAGAAGAAGACTACCTATTGTGTTATGCAAACTTAAATTTGCTTAGACACCCAAAGAAGCATGTACTTATATTGAATAAGGACATATCAGGATTGGAACTAGAATAATTACAGATCCTGCTACATTAGTGACTAGATCTTAAGAAGATCATATCACATGGTCTGACACATCAAAAATCAAATAAACAATATAACAATACAATAATGAAAGAGATGATTATATAGGTTGAATTTTTAATTTGTTATTTTATCATAATATTATTGACATTTAAATTTATTATTTAATCCTATTATTTTATTAACTTGATTCAATAAATTGAGATATTTATATTAATTATCATAGTGATTAGAATATAGTAAAATCCTTAATTATTTTTATTCATTAGATAATCTTTATTAAATAGCATAACTAAATACAGTTGATAGTCCAACACCAGAACTTTTTAACAAATTCAAAGTAATCACAACTCTATATAATTTAAATGGATTATTTTCTCTATCATATTCAAGTTATCTTTGATTATTCTCAAAAACTTCAATTATTAATTCAATATATTCTTTTACGTTATCAACATCTAATCCATTATATTCCTTTATAATATATACAAATATTATATGAACATCATTTATTGGTTAAATATTATTAAGAAAGTATTATTCTCTCATCCTTAAGATATCATTGAACCGAAAAAAGCCTGCTATGATGTTATAAAATTAAGCAATAATCTTATCAAATCAAGTTAATCTTATATATTTTTCATTAAATATTTCAATCTAATATAAATAGGAGAGATTCCATAAAATAAAACAATGAAATCAAATATTTATAAAATGAAGATTAAAGATTATTTTATTAAAATTAGTTTGCTAAGTAACCAAATATGTGAAATCCATTATAATAAACGTATTATATAATAGGATCAGTTTATTTCATTTATTATTTTATAGCCCATTCTAAATAAAAAGATATATTAGTATTTTTGATAGCTTCAGATTTTTTTATACTTGGTTCAATTAGAAAATCAAATTTATATAAAGTGCATTCCTATTCATGTCTTCTTAAAGTTCTATATTACTCTAAAAATAAGACTTTAGAGGATTAGCAAAACCAATCTTAAAACATTAGATCAAAACTTAACATTTCATCTAGAAGTTCTTAAGTTTTATATAGTTTTATTCTAGCAGTACATTAAGTAGCATATTTAGCTGCTATTACAACTGAATGAGTTGTGATAGCAAGCCACATAAATATAATTTCTGTCATAGTAGCAACACTTTTGTTTTTTATAGAATACATTAAACCACCTAATACTGATCCCATCCATAAAAGAGTTTACATATAAAATGATGAAGAGTGCTTTAAAAACCTCATGTTTTTTAACAAAATAATTCCTGGATATTTAAATTGAAATAAGACAACAAAAGGTCCTAACAATATAAAAAATAGCATATGATAAAAATAGAAATTCAAAAAATACATCCCAATGCCTTTCAACTTTGTATCTTGATAATTCTTCATCATGGACCTCATTAAAAGTTATTTATTTTTCATTCAAATAAAAAAGTATTTAATTTACAATTCTAAATTTTAATATTATTTGGAAAAGATTATAGTTTTTAGTAAACTAAATTAGTCTAAAAATATTAAAAATTTTTATTCCTAAATTTTATTATATATTTAAATCTCTTATTTTTTGTTAAAAATATCAAATTTTCCATACACACCTTATTTTTTGATAAAAAGTCAAATATTTCCTTCTTTTTTTTTAAATTACTATATTTTGACAATTGTTTTTATGGATTATAATTCTTTTAATGGAGTAGCATCTAAATAGTAGTCAGGGATAGATTTAACAGTTGAATTAATTGTCAGCAATTATCTTATTTATTAGACCGTTCTAAAAGATTTAAATAATTTTCCATCTTCAGAAGTAGTATGAATGGGAGTGTCAACTTCGATCTATCTAACTGATTAACTTGTTCGAAATTACATTTTATTAAAATATTATAAATAACCAAAACATTATTAAACTTATGGAGTAAATTATAATCTCTCAATTTTAAATACAGGCTGTGTCTGTACTTTGCATTCTTTATTATACAGCATAACCAACAAATGTAAACACAGCAACTACTAAACTTTACAAAAAGTTTAAAGTTATACGAATACCATAAATTTTAAAAGGGTTATGTCTTTTATCATAATTCAATTATCTAATTGCATCATCAATTTCTTCTATAATCAAATTGATATATTAAGTTATGGTTTCAATTGAGTTAGTTTCATTCTTCAACAAAAACACAAATTTTTTGTGAATGGCATTAGTTATATCCAAATTTAAAATAAAATATTGTTCTTTTCTTCTAAGCATATCTACATACATATTTCTAACATCTTCAAGTAAAATATCAAATGTTTCATAATATTCATTTAATCTGGCTCCATGCCATAAATAATACCCAATAAACCCAGTTAGAATAATTAGCATTTCTGATAATAATGTAATTTAAAAGTAATCTATTTGAATAAAATTCAATAATACTCCTATACCAAATAAAAATAAAAATATCCACCCTATAAAAATCAATGAATAAAATCCTTGAATTCTGAAATCATATGTTCTTCCATAATCAAAGGCCATGCCTCTCAACATCGACCACGCCTAAAAAGTGATAGGATTATTAAAATTAATTGTTGGTAATAACTTCTTGCTAGATGAATATTTTTATTCTTTTATATTCAACATATAGCAGCATTAATCTAAAAGATAAAACTTTCTTTATAAATCATATAGTCCAATCTATAAAAATATAAATGATCCAAAGAATCCTTATAAAGTTGTCAGTATATTTATTATTATTCTAGTAATATCAATTGCACCAACATCTACCTCATAAAAATATTATAATCTTAACAAGCAAGGTGTCAATGATAATATTAAAGATTATACAANTATTTAAATCTCTTATTTTTTGTTAAAAATATCAAATTTTCCATACACACCTTATTTTTTGATAAAAAGTCAAATATTTCCTTCTTTTTTTTTAAATTACTATATTTTGACAATTGTTTTTATGGATTATAATTCTTTTAATGGAGTAGCATCTAAATAGTAGTCAGGGATAGATTTAACAGTTGAATTAATTGTCAGCAATTATCTTATTTATTAGACCGTTCTAAAAGATTTAAATAATTTTCCATCTTCAGAAGTAGTATGAATGGGAGTGTCAACTTCGATCTATCTAACTGATTAACTTGTTCGAAATTACATTTTATTAAAATATTATAAATAACCAAAACATTATTAAACTTATGGAGTAAATTATAATCTCTCAATTTTAAATACAGGCTGTGTCTGTACTTTGCATTCTTTATTATACAGCATAACCAACAAATGTAAACACAGCAACTACTAAACTTTACAAAAAGTTTAAAGTTATACGAATACCATAAATTTTAAAAGGGTTATGTCTTTTATCATAATTCAATTATCTAATTGCATCATCAATTTCTTCTATAATCAAATTGATATATTAAGTTATGGTTTCAATTGAGTTAGTTTCATTCTTCAACAAAAACACAAATTTTTTGTGAATGGCATTAGTTATATCCAAATTTAAAATAAAATATTGTTCTTTTCTTCTAAGCATATCTACATACATATTTCTAACATCTTCAAGTAAAATATCAAATGTTTCATAATATTCATTTAATCTGGCTCCATGCCATAAATAATACCCAATAAACCCAGTTAGAATAATTAGCATTTCTGATAATAATGTAATTTAAAAGTAATCTATTTGAATAAAATTCAATAATACTCCTATACCAAATAAAAATAAAAATATCCACCCTATAAAAATCAATGAATAAAATCCTTGAATTCTGAAATCATATGTTCTTCCATAATCAAAGGCCATGCCTCTCAACATCGACCACGCCTAAAAAGTGATAGGATTATTAAAATTAATTGTTGGTAATAACTTCTTGCTAGATGAATATTTTTATTCTTTTATATTCAACATATAGCAGCATTAATCTAAAAGATAAAACTTTCTTTATAAATCATATAGTCCAATCTATAAAAATATAAATGATCCAAAGAATCCTTATAAAGTTGTCAGTATATTTATTATTATTCTAGTAATATCAATTGCACCAACATCTACCTCATAAAAATATTATAATCTTAACAAGCAAGGTGTCAATGATAATATTAAAGATTATACAATGACATATCTAGAGAACCCTTCTGGAGTATGATTTTTTTAATATTAATTAACTAAATATCCAAAAATATAAAAGCAATTGTATGTATTATCGATTTTAGGGGCAACTTATGATTCTTCTTGTAATTCTAACCACTCCGAATAAAATCCAACATCTACTTATACCAACTCTTTTACTGTCTTTATGTGTGGTTAACATAAGAAATCAATTTTGTAGAAATCTGGATCCAATTCTTTCCTTTTTAAAAATCTCAATTATTCTAGAAATAAAACTTTTGGAGTCTGTAGTCTCCAATCCCACATCATTAGATCAAAAGTAAACATTTCTTCACTTAAAACTTATTATTTGTATAATCGTATTCTATCTTAACTTAGAGTAGCATATTTTGCTGCAATTACAACAGCCCTTATTAAAAGGGCAAATTAAGTAAATACAACTTCAGTTAAAGTTATAATATTTTTGTCATCAAATAAGTACCAATAACCTCCTGCCAAAGAGCCAAGCCATAAAAGTAGTTAAAAATAGAACTGGGGGTGATGCTTTAGAAACCTCATATTTATCATCAGAGGCATTCCAGGCCATTTACAAAAGAATACAACCATAAAGGGCCCAAAAAGATTATAGAACATCTAGACAATAGAAATAAGATATTACAATATGATAACATAAGAATTCAAAGAAAAACTTCCAATGCCATTCTGTCTAAAATCTACCCATTTCTTCTTAGGCCACTTTCAAGAATGTTTCAGAGCGTTTTAAATTATCTCTATAAAAATGCTCTCTTAATGGAAGCTCAGCTTCGTCTAAATCTTTTGCTGGAGTTTCTAATCTTGTTTCAGATTGAATTAAATTGAAGCTCTTTAACTAAAGAACTTTTGTATACGCTTGTCTGTGTCTCTCATTTCTTTCTGTTGAATTAATGTTCCCATTATCTCCAAGACAAGTTTTAATCTAAGTAATACTTTTAATATTCATCAAAACAAGAATTTCTTAAAAATTATTTTAAATACAAGAAGATTTGAGAACATTGTTTAGCTTAACATTATATTCTCAATTAAAAATTATAGTAGAAGTATTGAAATTTAATCAGTAATTAAATAAATATAGATAAATTTGAAAATCTATAACAAAATTCAATATTAATAAGTTAAAATTAAAATCAATTAGTTGTTTAATAAAAACTGGATTCTCAATCCATACCTATATTTTACTCTCTAGAATTTAATATAAGTAGTTATAATGTATTTATTAAGCAATATAAATTTATTAATTGAAAAAATAACAAAAAAATCTAATTAATTGTCGCTTTTTAAATTTGTGTTAATTTTTTTATAAATTATCAACTATTCAAAATTTACATAAACAGAATAATTAATGATCAAGAATATAATATTCATTAATCATAATTTAATAAAAATTTAAATTAATAATTCTTATTTTATTATTCAATATATATCACTAAATATCTGTACCATACAATAATCTATGAGCTCTTTGAATAATTGTATCCTGATATTATTATCATATTTAATACTTTCTTTGCTTCATATGGATATTCTTTGCTAGGAATTTCAAGAATTGTAGGTAAAATGGAATCATATTAATTAATAATGTGTCTTAGATAATTTTCTGCAACGAATTATGTAACAAGAATGACTGCTATATTAGGATGCTTCAAAAAATTCTAAAAAGTAGTTTCAATCAATTTAGGATCGGTTTCGAGAAATAATGATTATACATACTTGAATCTACAACCAAAAAATTAGTTTCTCCTTTAATATTTTTTTCTCCAATGCCTGTTAATAGAAATCCTGTAACAGTATCCTTAAAATATCAATAATATTTGAGTACTTCATCACCAATAATAGATACAAGAGATGTACCTTCAGATTTCTTAAAAGTTTTCTTTGACATTAAATTTAATATTTATTTAATATATAAAAGATTAATTATTTATATACTATTAAATAATCTTCATAAATCTAATTATTATTTAGAAGGCTTTTTGGATCCAATATGAATGAAAGAAGCCCTTTTTGATTTGCTCTTTGAATTTGTAAATTAATTAGTGAGTTCTATTTGATCATCAATAGATTAAAATTCATCACTCAATGAAATCTAATCTAATTCTTTATTAATCTTTTGGGCAGCAAATTTATTTAATGGATCAGTATTGAATAATGCAAATTCATTAGAATTAAAATGAGTTTAATTATTATCTGGCTGAGCCTAATCTTATTTTAATTCATATTATCCAATTTTTGGTTCTAGTCCATAATCACTATCTTAGTCAAATTTCCATATTTCGAGATAGTCATTAGATGGGTTAACACATTTTTCACATTCCCTAATTATATTGCTTTAGCTTAAGTAAGTATCTGAATTATTAATGTTATCCTAATGGACTTGTTTTTTTTCATCAACATTAATTTCTATCGATAAATTATCAATAGAATTATCTACTTTATCTATTTTTTCAATATCTTCAATATCATCTAAAGCCAATTTTACAGGTTTTTCATTTATAATGATTTCTGAAATTTATTGATTAGCATATTATAAAGTCATTTTTTCTAATTAAGCCATTTAATCTTCTTCATCATCATGTTAATCTTTAAAAATATTTTATTCTGTAATATCTATATTTTCTAATATAATCTTTTAAGCATTTAAATTATCATTTTTAGATATTTTTGGATTATTATTATTATTATTATTATTATGATTTCCTCCTTTATTAGGAGATCCACCTTCATTATTTCCACCATCATTATTTCCATTTTTATCATTAATAGTTATCTCTTATTTAAAATGCCTACCTTCTTGTTTTCTTTTATTAATAATATCTAATATTGTTGTTTTTTCTTCATTTAATTCTTTAACTTCTGTTGATGAAAGTTCAAAGAATGACTTTACATTAGCATCAAAACCTAATCCAACTCTTCCTACTTCTCCATCATATCTATTTTTCTTAATCTCAAATACTCTATATCTAGGTCTATTTTAAATAATAAAAACATTATCAGCTTCTTGAGTAGCTTTAGCTGAACCAAAAATTGAAGCAATAGTTAAATCCTCATTTTCATCAACTTTTCTTGGATGAATAACCAAAGTTAGATGTATATCATTATTACTAGTTAATCTTCTAAATTTTTCTATTATTTCATCCTAATAATCAAATTTTCTATTTCCTCCTACTTAAGTTCCCATCATAAATTATAAATTATCTAAACAAACATGTGTTACATTATATTCATAAATTGCATATTCAATAGTATCAATAATCTAGTCTAGATCTGTTGATCCATAAAAATTCATATAATACTAATAAATATATAAATAGAATATATTACAATTGGCATTTCATTTTCAAATTTTTAAATTGCTACATCAACCAAATCTTTTTATTTAATTAAATCTGTTTTGTATGCTTGCAATAATTAATGTTCAGCTAATCTATCAGTCTTTATTTCAAAACTTCCCCAAAGTGTTGTTATACCTTCTTTACAGAAATCTAAAGATAATTGACTCAAAAAAGTTGTCTTACCACTACCAGTAGGTCCAGTTAAAATAGTAAATTCTAATTTTAATATTAATTAATATACCTCCAGTTCTTAATCCTTTAGTTGTATTATTATATGTTCTAAATGTTTATGATTAAGTTCCTTTAGATAATTCAAAATTTAAGATTCTATTCTTTGTTAATTATTTAAAATCAGTAAATTAAGTAATATTCTTTTTTAGTAGACATTTTGATTGATCAATGTAAGTCATTACTTTATCTTAATAATATCTTAAACAATCATTAGCATCCTTAGGATAATCATGAAGATCAATTAAAGATGGTTAGACTACTCTTGTTCTTGCATTACCAAGTTTACGGGCAATCTTCTATGAATTAATTCTTCCAGGATTATCATCATCTACCCATATTATTATATCATTTAATTTCTCAAATTAATCCAACCTTATTTAATAATTATAATATAATACCATTCAATAAGATAAGCTGGAATATGATTTATACCATATGGTAATGATATAGCAGGAATATTTGTCATTTAATAAGCAGCCATAGCATCAAATTCTCCTTCTGTTAAAATAACTTATGTAGAATCTTATTTGAGTAAATGCATTCCAAATATTCCTTTGGCTGCATTCATTGGTTCAATCTTTTAAATATGTTTTAAGTCCTTTCCTGCTGCTCTAATTTTACAACTCACTAATTCATATTATAAATTATCAAATTAATTATCTAATTGTGATCTAATATTTTATTTTGTTTCTTCACTCATCACTTATTCAGCTAAAACTTCATCCTTTTTCTATTTCAATGCTTTCTATATTAATTTATTCTTTTCGTGTTAATTTCTATATCGAAACATAGGAAAGTATATAAGTGGAGCCTATATATAAGTTCCCTACTAAGGATCATAAATTTCAGTTATATCAATACCAATCAAATACAATTTTAACACATCATCCTTAATTCCTCTTTAATTCTGACTAGTGAATAATAGGCATATTTTACATTTTCCCAATCATCTCCTGTCAAATAATCATAAACTATTTTTGGTTCTTACAACTTTAATCTCTCATAATATTGGTGATATTCAAATATATTTAACTTTTAAGTTGGCTATTATTATAAACTCTATTAATTTTATTGTTGTTAATTATTGAGATTCCCATTCATAAAATTCTTAAAATCAAACCAAGAACCTTTTGCTTAACAAGTTGCTCTAAAACAATTATAAGACCCACTTAAACTATATTTTATCAAATATACTTCTCTAAATTTATCCCCATAACATATTAGTTTGAAGGATTCTCTATATTATGTTTTGGACAAAATGGACAATATCTTAATTATACATATTTTCCTTATATCTTGTGTTCCATCTTCTTATCTTCCAAGTATTAAACAATTGAACTTGATGAAACTTTAAAATGTTTGGAAGTATAAGTAGGGTGGATCTGAATTTCATCTTAAAAAAATACCAAATTTTCATTCTTCTCTTTATAAAACTTATTGTAATTATCATCAAAATGATAAACAATCTTCTATTAAAGAGATTATAGCATTCTATTTTTAATCATCGATTATGCAATTCTAGCTACACGCCTCATTTGATGATCGTAAATTAAATTTAAATTAATTTGTGTTCAATATTTTCTTAAAAAATCATCTAAAATCATATTATAATCTAATCAAATTTATTCCTTCATCATCATATCCCTATCTAATATATATTTATATCAGTTGTATCTATTATAAGAAAAATGAGCTTCTAAATAAAATAAAATCGGCATTTAAAAATATCATTGCAATATCTTTGGTTCCAGAATTTTCTTTACTGTAAGTCTTTCTTTTTCATATGAACAAGAGAAAATACTGACAAACTTGATTATATATATCAATATAATTTATTAACTTAATCCTTTTAAATACTATATTAAAGATGCCCTAGTTAACTTTATTTAAAAGCTAAAATTACACTGAAATCATATACTGAAAGTCATTTCAAAATGTTTAATCTATCCCTATTTAAATTTTAATCTCTTCTAAAAATTAAAGATGCAAAGTATATATAGAAAAATTAAAAAAATAAATGTTTCAGTGATTTTATTAACACCATATAGTTTAATCATATTAATCAACCTTCTCATTCCTTGTGATTTTCTTCATCGGAATGAATTTTATGTTTATTAAGATATTATCTAATAAGTTATTTTGTTCTTTGAAAAGGCTTTTCTGTTTTTTTCAATTATCTTTTCTTCTGATTTTTTCTCAAACGAGGATTAAAAGGATTGAATTTTTAATGGTGGGATCTATTTATAAAATAATAGTACCTGCATTAACTTGGAGTACGAGTACCGATAATCTAACTCATCCTTTTGAATAAAGGTTGTCCTTTTCTCTATGTATCTCCTGATCCTTTTACTCTAAGTAAGAATTAGACATATTATTGATGTTCCTCTTGACTCCAATGACCCTACTTAACATTGGTACTATTGCTGATATCTTATTATTTAGATTGATTTATCATAAGTTCAAGATATTCCTAGTTTAAAGTGCCTGAATTCTCAGATTTCATTTAATTCTTGCAATTTGAATCTTAAAATAAATAATTTAAGAAGAACTTAATATCAATAAAAAGGAATAATAGAATACCAGATATAACATAAATCTAAGATATATTCAGGGATCTAAACTCACTGAACACAATTAATGTTTGATATAAAAGATCATGCATAATATTATTAAGATACATTTTGAGAATGAAAATAAAAATAAATTCATTACTAAATTTGTATTCAAAACATACAATTCATAATATTTCTTAATAAACCCACACATATTTATCCATATAAATAAGTGATTAGTGTTCTGTAATATTCATTTCTGTTTTTGTTCTTCTCTTAATCATAATTTTTAACATTATTTACAATTACTTCAAAATTGAAGAAAAGCAAAATCATCAATTCAAAAAAAGCTAAGAGGAAGATAATTTAGAATCTAAAAACAAAAATAAGTAATTAATATTTATGTAAAAATATTTTAATAAAAAATCCAAAAGTCCTTTTTTAAATGATAAATCACCTAAAGTTGGGAATTCTAGTAAAGATTAATCTATCAATAATGAAAATATTACCAGAGAATAAACAATTGAAAAATTAATATTATAATTAGATTTAATCAGAAGAAAACATGAATAAGAAAAAAGAGAAATGACAGAGGCATTTAATCTTTAAATTTAAACTAAAATTAAGTAACATCAATTATTAGAGAATGAGTATTAACAAAAAAATCAACTATTAGAACAATTATTNATATAGAAAAATTAAAAAAATAAATGTTTCAGTGATTTTATTAACACCATATAGTTTAATCATATTAATCAACCTTCTCATTCCTTGTGATTTTCTTCATCGGAATGAATTTTATGTTTATTAAGATATTATCTAATAAGTTATTTTGTTCTTTGAAAAGGCTTTTCTGTTTTTTTCAATTATCTTTTCTTCTGATTTTTTCTCAAACGAGGATTAAAAGGATTGAATTTTTAATGGTGGGATCTATTTATAAAATAATAGTACCTGCATTAACTTGGAGTACGAGTACCGATAATCTAACTCATCCTTTTGAATAAAGGTTGTCCTTTTCTCTATGTATCTCCTGATCCTTTTACTCTAAGTAAGAATTAGACATATTATTGATGTTCCTCTTGACTCCAATGACCCTACTTAACATTGGTACTATTGCTGATATCTTATTATTTAGATTGATTTATCATAAGTTCAAGATATTCCTAGTTTAAAGTGCCTGAATTCTCAGATTTCATTTAATTCTTGCAATTTGAATCTTAAAATAAATAATTTAAGAAGAACTTAATATCAATAAAAAGGAATAATAGAATACCAGATATAACATAAATCTAAGATATATTCAGGGATCTAAACTCACTGAACACAATTAATGTTTGATATAAAAGATCATGCATAATATTATTAAGATACATTTTGAGAATGAAAATAAAAATAAATTCATTACTAAATTTGTATTCAAAACATACAATTCATAATATTTCTTAATAAACCCACACATATTTATCCATATAAATAAGTGATTAGTGTTCTGTAATATTCATTTCTGTTTTTGTTCTTCTCTTAATCATAATTTTTAACATTATTTACAATTACTTCAAAATTGAAGAAAAGCAAAATCATCAATTCAAAAAAAGCTAAGAGGAAGATAATTTAGAATCTAAAAACAAAAATAAGTAATTAATATTTATGTAAAAATATTTTAATAAAAAATCCAAAAGTCCTTTTTTAAATGATAAATCACCTAAAGTTGGGAATTCTAGTAAAGATTAATCTATCAATAATGAAAATATTACCAGAGAATAAACAATTGAAAAATTAATATTATAATTAGATTTAATCAGAAGAAAACATGAATAAGAAAAAAGAGAAATGACAGAGGCATTTAATCTTTAAATTTAAACTAAAATTAAGTAACATCAATTATTAGAGAATGAGTATTAACAAAAAAATCAACTATTAGAACAATTATTGTTTTAGGAATAATCAAAAACAATTCATTTAACAAGAATCTTTTAAGATAAATAAAAAAGTATTGCGACAAATGATAAAGATTCATAGAGAAACAAATTCTAATAATCTGAAACATAATAAGATTCCCAACGTTATAATACTAAAGTACAAATTAAGTAGACACCAAAAGATAATTCAGTTAAAATGTTGCTTGAAATAATTAACAACATTTAAGCAAATATAGTTCGACATTCAAAGATAAAAAGACTTAATATCAGTTGGATAGATTATGAAATACTTGAAACAGATTTGTAAAAATAAAAGGATTTATCTAAGTCTTTAGCTAAAATAAATTAAATCTTTGATAAATTCTTTAGTATTATTAATGATAATTCTGCTCCATCACTTTCACCTTACAGAGTTACTAATACTCCTACTTAATTCTATAATATTGATAAGTAAGTTTCAACAAATAAAGAATAAGTAAAAACTAAATTATGTAATATTTAAACATAAACAACAGATATTATAACAAAAACTCATAAAATTGTATAAACAGATCTAAGTAATAAATTATCAAAGTTGATATAAACAGATCCAATTGAATAAAACTAAAATAAAGAAGTGTAATCATTAGATAAATTTATAAATTAAAAAGAAATTACATAAAAAAACTCATCTTCTTCAACTACATAATTGATTATATCTTAAAATTAAACCTAATAAACAGAAAATTTAAAAGGCTAATTTGAAATTTGTAATACCTTATAGATTAGTTTAAATAATAAAATTAATCAAGTTAAAATAAAACAGATATCAACAGAAGTTTAAACAGATCATATTGACAGAGAATCACTTATAAAATAAATAAAACATAATTCAAAAATTACTGAGAAAGATGAAGAAGATGAAGAAGAATAAAATATTGAAACTAAAAAATAGAAATTATAATTTGATAAAGATATAGAAAATGATAGTGAATCAATATTTGATTGCAATAAACCAGACTATGATTCTGTAATAGAACATCATGAAGAATTGGTTGATTTGAAAAGAGAATGTGAGGAAAAAAATGATAAGATTATAAATTTAGAAATAACTATACAACAACTTCTTAAAGAGTAAGGTTTATTCTAATTTGACAATGTAATAACAAGTGAATAACACAATTTATAAGAATTATTATCTAACAAATGGTTAATAAAATTAAAGGATCATGAAGCATAATAAAAATAGACCATTGGAATATTAGGATAAGATTTAAATTTTATAAAAAATACTATAAAAGCCATTTTCAATTAAGAATAATAGATAAATCTTTCATTAAATTAATTTGCTGTTCAATATTATGATAATGAATTTTTGGAAAATTATAAGTTAGATATTATGATAAAATAAATTTAATTTCCTGAAAAAATTATAGTGAATTCAAGACTTAATTATGAACATTAATAATTTTAAAAATTTTGGATTGATTTTATGATTAATTATTGCAGTGTATTTATTTATCTGTGTAATAATTGTAATGAGGATGATCTAAGAATGATTGATTATCTAAAAGAAAATAATAAAAAATTAGTAATAATAACATTTAATGATTTACAAATAGAGAATTTTTACAATTATAATAACTATAAATAAAATATTGATTATTAAATATTGAAGATTTAAGAAAATAAGAATATTTTATCATCAGTATGTAAAGAAATACTTTAAAGTGATTGGGAATGGGTAGAGGTTGATGATTCATTATTAGTATAATTGTAATCTCATATTTAAAATATTATTGGAAATTAAGATTGCATTTAATTGTAAATTAAAGAAGATGGAATATTTGAAATATCAGTGATAAATGATGAGTTAAATTATGATTCTTTATTAACTTTCCCTTACATAAAAAGTAAGGAACAACAAGATGATCAAATTGAGTTATGTCTTGAATTATGGGAATTTGGTCAAATATAAGATGTAAAATGTGTTGAAACTTAAATCTTGATAGTAATTGATTCATATATACTACTTGAATAAATGGATATTAAAACTTAATTGCATTCAATAGATGACAATAAAATACTTTTATCTATAATAAAATGAAAATCTATATCTGCTATTATATATAATAATATAAAATATCAATGAAATCATTGGTTTAAGTACTCTTTTAATTTTGAATCATAATGTCTTTAGGCATTATTATAAATTTATTGATATTATTATTTTTCTTCCTTAGTTCTCTGCTCATCATGTATAATTAATTTAATTATTTCACTTGCTCCTTAATTATCACCCAACTTGGCTTTTTCTTAGCCTTATTTTAACAAATTTATGATTTCCTAAAATTTATTGGGATTATTTACTTATTATCCTGGAAAAATATGTTCCATGTTTGACAGAATCATAATTAATATTTATTAAGTGAGTTCAGCTTATATTTAAGCTTAATTTTACTATTTGATTTGTTGTTACATAGCCCTATTATTATAATACTTGATATTATTACAAATATTGATTTTGGAAATAAGGATTTATTTAATTAAGTTCCTATTCACCATGAGCAAATGTGCATGTAGCCCCATTTTTGCATAATCCTGTTTATGGGTTAAAGTGTTTGCACAATTATGCTTAAAAATGATTAATCTTAAATAATACTTTTATAATTCGCTATCATGGGATTAATTGGTTATGTCTTAATGGGTAGAGCACCTTGTGGATTTTAATGCATAATGAATTCAGGATTTTGTTGAAATCCATTAGCATTTGCTCTAAGCTCCTATCTTCCATGAGCAAATTAACATCTTGCTCCTAAAGCACAATTACCATTTGTTACTAAAACTTATACTATTATTTACTGAAATGTCTGCAAAGTTATGTTTTATACTTTTGGTTGGGAAATTGAACTTGGTTGACTTACATAATTTTATATTATTTTAATAAATATCATTATTATGTAAATTTCAACAGAATCAAATAATCTAAGTCTAATTATTTAGAATAAAGAGATAGGAGAAGATTCATCGTCATGTTTAAAATAAATTAGAACTTTATTCAAATTATTGAGTTTAAGCTTTATCCTTTAAAGTGTTATAAGGATTCTAGAAAATTGTATATATAATTATTATTATTATTGATTATGAATTAAATTTCAAAAGCAATTAAAAATTATTTTAAAGATTTTTTTTTTTATATTAAATGTCCCACAGAAAATTTGAGGCACCTAGACATGGAAATCTTGGATTTACTCCAAGAAAGAGAACAAAACATCACAGAGGAAGAATTCGAGCATTCCCAAAAGATAATGTTAAGGCTCCAGTTCATTTGACAGCATTTGCAGGATTCAAGGCTGGTATGACCCATATCTTGAGAACTGTTGAAAGACCAGGATCAAAATTGAATGGCAAAGAAGTAGTTGAAGCTGTTACTATTGTTGAAACACCTCCTTTGGCTGTTGTTGGTATTGTTGGATATATTGAAACTCCAAGAGGATTAAGAGCTTTAACAACAGTTTGGAGTACTAAGATTGCCAAGGACACTTTGAGAAGATTCTATAAGAATTGGATGAATTCAAAGAAAAAGGCTTTCACTAATTACAACAAAGTTAATACTGAATCAAAGAATTTGGAAACATAATTAAAGAGAATGATTAAGTAAAAATATTAAATAAACTATATAGATATTGTTAAGTTGTAAGAGTCATTGTGCATACTTAAATGAGCAAATTAAATTTAAGATAGAAGAAGAATCACGTTTTTGAAGTCTAAGTCAATGGAGGCACTACTGAACAAAAGGTTAATTATGCTAAAGGATTGTTAGAAAAAGAAGTCACAGTAAATTAAGTCTTCAAATAAAATGAATAAATTGATGTTATTGGTGTCACAAAAGGTAAGGGAGTTGCTGGTGTCATCAAGAGATTTGGTGTTAAACATTTACAAAAGAAAACCCATAGAGGTTGGAGAAGAGTTGGTTGTATCGGAGGATGGCATCCAGCCAATGTCAGATACAGTGTTGCCAGAACTGGTCAATTAGGTTATCATCACAGAACTGAAATGAATAAGAAGATCTACAGAATTGGTGCTGCAGGAGATAAAAACACTGCATCAACTGAAGCCGATTTGACCTCTAAAGCAATCACTCCTTTAGGTGGTTTCCCACATTATGGTGAAATTAGAAATGATTTCCTTATGCTCAAAGGAGGTATTGTTGGACCCAAGAAAAGAATTGTCTTATTAAGAAAGTCTCTAGTTCCATAAACTAATAGAAAAGCTTTGGAAGAAATCACTCTCAAATTTATTGATACTTCCTCCAAAATTGGACATGGTACAATCATCATTCTATTTTATTAGGACGTTTCTAAACTCAAGAAGAAAAGGCCAAGTTCTATTTTACCAGAACCTAGAGAAAATTAAAGTAAAAATAATAACAATAACAATAATGATTTATAAATTATCTTCATATAAAAACATTATAAACAAAACAATTTAATACTAAATACATTTTTTAATGTAATTATACTTATGTAATAAATCAGAACCTTAATTTTGAAAATAGGAATCTTGATTATGCCTTCTTATCAGCTAAACTTCCGGCTGGTAATGTTCTATATTTCTCAGCCAAATATTTTCTTAAATTCTTTCTCAAATCTTTTCTCTTTTCAACATTCTTCAATTCTGACTCTTTCACTCTTTCAATTCTATCTCTAACTTCTTTCAAAGTTGATTCTTCTAATCTATATCTATAATAATAATATAATCATTCTTAACCTTGTTGGCATAATGTGATTTAGATTTAATTGCTTAATGAAAACTTTTAAAGTTGTTCGCTTTCTTATTTATTTTTAGCCCATTCTTTTTGTAACCTTTCTGGGGTATCTTTAAATTCCAACAACTAAACCATTTGGGAATTTGCAATCCTAATTCAATTTTCTTATTATATACTTTTGTTGTCTCTTCATTTGCCTTTATCAAAATGGCTTTTTTTCCTGCATATCTGCCTGCCAACATAACTACTAAACGTCCTGGTTTTAAGCTTAAAATAAGTCTAATACTTACAATTTTCCCATTTCAAAATACTAAATAAATCTTTTAATTATTTAATATAAATTTTCCAATAATTAAACATTCTCATTCTAATCATCATTCCTTTCTGTAATTTAAAAGGAATACTTCTACTATAGAACATAAAACCATACTTTTTAAAAATAAATAAAAACCTAAATCGTTTAAAAATGAATTCCATCATAAAATTGAATTATATTAGAATTATCTAATATATAAAGTGATAAATAATGTTCTTTCAATTTTATAGATTCAATATATTTAAATATATATGTTTTTAATGAAAGTACTTATAAATAAAAAAATTGAATAAGATTAATACTAATATTAACGTATTGAAAAACTAAACATTTACTTTATTTAAAAAATACTGATTATCCATAGTTCATATTCAATTTATATTTTTTAGATGAAAATTTATTAAATTATGCTTTTCCAATTTATGAAATTAGATCTCAGAGAAACTTTAGCAATAATGCCTTTTAAAAGTTTTAAAAACTTTATCTAATTTTTATGTTTTTCTATTTCTTTAAATTTATCTTTTTACTCATCTATATATATAAAGCCATTAATTAAGGATTTTAATGAAAATAGTCTTTTTTTTAGGAATCTTCCAGTTGGTAAAATTTAGACTCATAAACAAATTTTTCAACTTTTAAAGTACTAGAAGCATAGATTAATTAAATCATTCAGATCAATTTCATTCTTAAAAAATTAAACTTTTTCATCATCATCTTTTTCTTGTTTGTTTGAATAAAAAATAATTAAATTTTAATTTTTAAATAAATCTTATTTAATAAATAGTATATAATATCATCATTATTAGATATTTTTGGTGTATATATCTTAATAAAGTATTACCTGAAGATGATAATTCATTATTTATTTAAAAAAATTTTTAATTTTTATTATGTTGAGTAAATTACTTAATTGAATATTGTTAATAATTTCTTTTATTTTAATTATCTATATACAACAACAATTCAATAAAATAAAATAATCTAAGTATGAACGAAGAAATAAATAAATAATCGTAATTATCGAAATTTAATAACAAGTAAATTCAAAAAGGAAATTAGAAATGGACTTTAGACTCATATTTTTTATGAATTTTTTCAAAAATTTTCTTAGCTCCATTAGTGTTTATAGTTACATCCTCACCGATTTGCTTTAAAGAACATATTTATTCATTATTTTTTTTTCTTTTTGGATCCAATTTTAGAAAATGAAAAATTGAAAGCTACTTTCATCTTTTTCCAAATGAAAATGGACTGATTTTTCTTTTTTAATACATGATAAACTTTTTGAATGCCTAATAACTAAAATAGGCTTCCTTCTTTTGTATTTTTCAGAATATTAATTTTCATTCTTTTTCATGAAAGAATCATCTTATTTGAGATTTAATTTTGCGCTTTATTATACTTATTTTTGGTTTTATTGATCCTTAGATAATTTAAAAGTTTAAATTTCCTTTGGAGTATCAGGAGGATTTATGGGACTTATCTTACAAAGAATGGTAAAAGTGTTTATTTGAGGTATTTGAGAATCTGATTTGTACTATTTTACATTTGGCATTTGATAGCTAAGTGTCTTTTAAGCTTAAGATTCATCATGAATTCTTTAATGCAAATAAATTTTACTATGAAACAAATAAACAATCATCTTCTATCTACTATGACTAATTTTAATAAACTCTATTGGTCATTAATATTTTATTAATAATTAAGAATAGATTTTATAAAATGGCATTAAAAAAAATATAAATTTTTAATAATCAAATTGATATATTCTTAAGAAAAATATGAGATGAATAATATCTCTCTATCAAAAAATCAATTAATATATATATATATTAAAAGATTAAATATTTATATGTTTATTATATCAAGAGTTCATTAAAAGATATAAACCTAGTTTTTATATTTTAGTAGCTTTTTCTTTAACATACTAAATTTTATTCATATCCATTTAATAATTATTAATTTCAATTTTGGATGTGATATTTTTTGTCTATTTTCTTCTGAAATTACGAGCTATAAGTCCTTTAGTGAATTATTTATCATCCTATCTAATATCTTATATAGGATGATCGAGATTGCATTAATAAACCTTTTTATCAAATTCAGATTAAAATTATTTGAGAAATTTGAGAAGTTCAGTTTCATTCATAAATTCACATCTTCTTTTCAATTAATTTTCTATTTCAACAGGATCAAAATTGCAGACCAATTTACTTTATTTTTTATAAGGTGAACCTTCTTCTTCTTCTTCTTTATCTCCATTTTAATTTAATTTTGGTTAATTATTATAATGTTAATCTTGAAATTTCAAATGTATAATTTTTTAAGCTTCTTAATCTTTTTATTTTAATTTTAATTTATGATCACACAAATAATCCATCTCATAATAACAACTATTCACTATATTATATCTAAAATCTATTTTTTCTTCATAATTTCTTTAAATATTTTAAATTTAATCTTATCTTTCATTATCTAAAGTATAAAATAAATTTTACATAGAGATACTTAATAATGAATTTCTTGATCATGTTGATGACTTAATTCACCAATTAGAGATTCAATAATTTATTTCTTTTAAGGAAGAGGCATATCTTCAGGAATTTTATATTATTCCATTAATATTCTTTCTAATTTCATTCTTTCAATTTATTTCTAATATTCCAATTACTTTTATTTTTCTCTCTCCATTTATTCAACTTTTCTTGGCTATTGAAAAATCATAGATATGAATTACATCCATAGGAGAAACTTGAGCAGAAGATTTTCTTCTTTATTATTAAATTTGAATAGAAGGTGGTTACAATTTCTATTATAATTTCTTAGGTTTCAATCTACTAGGTCGTTCTGGCTCTTGGAAAGATTCATTCGTATATTCTTTTTCATAATAGCTATCTTCTGATTTCTATTTTTATATGGAAATTTTGGTTTGAGAATATTCATTTGATAATTAAGGTCGTTTTTATTGATTATTTTACTTCTTTCTCCTTTAAACTTAGTTATTTTAAACAGTGCCATTATTACTATGTTGAGCAGTATATTAAGAACCCATAGGAGTATTTGGAGTAATAGATTTAGCAACACTTCTTGAAGAAGATTATGGATGATATGAATTATCACCAATCTTTAGATGCATTCTATCTTAAGTTGAAAATAATATTGCTTAATGTTATCTCATAGAACCATCTAAAGATTCTTCTTCTATTATTTTTTCTCTATTATCACATCTACTTACTTATATATTAATTTAATTATTATTATTTTCATTTTCATAATTATTTAAAGAAGAAGAACTTTCACTTTATTCTAAATTATTTATTGTATATTAATATCTATCTTCTTCAAGTTTTTCAAATCTATTATCACTTTTAAATAATCTTTCTTATGAATACCTTCTTTTTTTATCTTCCTCTTATTAATCATATTCATTTTCATTTCCTTAAACATTATGAGATTTCATTCTTTTTGAACTTCTCTTAAAAGTAACTGTCAATTAATTCTTATATTATTTTTAATCATTTTCAGAATTATTACTAACTGAGTTTCTTTAATCTACTTTATCTTTCTAAGCAGAAGTTAAAGTTCTTGAAGATTAGGGAGGCATTAATGAATTAATATCATATTAATCAATAGTATGTCTCTTAGATTAAAAAGAATGTTCACTTATATTTAATGTATTTGTATCTGGTCTAAAATTAGTTGTTTATCTTATCTCTTTAGGTATTGATTATTAAGGTGAATTTGTTATTACCATATCTTCTACCATATCTGTCTTTAAAAATTAAGGACTTTCTTATTGTCTTTCATCTAAATCTCTTCTTGATGCTCTTTATGAATTATTTATATTTCCACAAAAACTAGTTTCTTATGTTAATTATTATTAATGTTTTCCTTATTCTTGTATTTATTTTGATTTATCTACTAAAGAATGTTAAGGTTTATGTTATATCTTTTTTTATTATTTAAATTCTTATTATGATTATTAATATCTATGAATACCTTTTTAATTTTTTACATTATTTAATTATCTTTCAGTCTTATTACCATTCTTTATTTATTAATTATTTTCATTATGTCTTTAATTTTAATCAAATACATGAGGTAATTTTGATTGTTAAATTGGTGTTAATGTTTTTCTTTAATTATTTTCTGGTTAATTTATTAAATATGCTTATTATGGATAACTACCTTTAATTGACTTTAATAAGACATCTGATTATTTTCTAGATGTTAAAGGTTATTATTGTTATTAATTAGATTCTTATTAATTATTAAATGTTGCAGATTAATTTTATACTTATCCATTTGATATTTCAGAAGTGAAGTTTGTATTTAAACCATATCTCAATTTTTCAATTGGAAGCATACATGATTATTATGATTCCATTTTTATTTAAGTTTAAGATTGATCAGATTATTCTTATGTCAACAAATTACAATTTAATTTTTCATTCCTTGCTGTTGATAAATTATCCTATTTCAATAATTAATCTTGAGTATTATCACGACTAGTTTGAATTGTTTTAAACCCTTTAATATCATTTTTATCTGAAGTAATCTAAGACAATCTCAAATTCCTCTTGCTTCTTTCTGTTTTTGTTGCTTCATCTAATATTTATTAATCTAAAATTTCCTTATCACTAAATTCATTAGTTTAATGTTCTTTTAAATTACTATCCTTATGTAAAAGTAAAGCACCACTTTTATTAGAAATATTAAAGGATCCTCTATAACCTAATTGACGAGTTGATGATATTGTTTTTATCTCATAACTTACTTCCTAAATCTTTTATTATGATTGTTAATGTTTTGCCAAGTTTACTTAAATTGTAGCAAATATTTTATTGAACACAGGTTATACTTTTGCTTTCTTTTTGTGTTTCTATGTCATCAAATCAATGAATTGGGCTTGATCAACAAAAGATATCAACCCAATTTTTCCTTATTACACTTTTTCAACTATGTTAGCAAGAAACATGTCTTCTCTCTAATTCTATCTATTGTCTCCAAATTATAGATTAAGTGATTTCATAATAATTTTAATAATAATAGATATGAATATATTTATTCCTTTAACATAATTACTAAATTTAAACAAAAATTCCATGTATAATCCTTATATGCACATATTTTAGATAGAATAAATTTATATCTGCAAATAATTAATATCTATATACAATGAAAGAAGAAATAAATTACTGGTCTAATTTATTTTGCTTTAATTTACCTATACATAAAAGAAAATATTTATTTACCTTATACCTATAACAAAAATAAGAAATTATTTAATGAAAATAAATAATTGATCCTCTATATAATAAAACTATTTAGCAAAAAAATATTATAATCATTAGAAATTTTATTCATTTGATTTTCAAACTAACCCTAGTTAATTTTATTTAATTAATATTCATTATTATAAACTAATTTAATTAATATATGATTATTAAAATTAGTAATTATATAATTTTTTAATATATAAACTATGTACAAAAACTATATCTATTATTCATACTATAAAATACTAATTTACTTATTGAAAACCCTCTTGAAACACATATCTGAAGAGAGTTTGAATCTTCGTATTTTTATTAATAATAAATTCAAACCAGTTGGAAAGCCTGGGGATAATAAAAAAAATATATTAACTTTAGATATACTTGTTAAGGTTTCAAAATATACCTTTATTCTTGAAGAATGAGCATCTTAGCAATATGTTTCTTTTGGTTTAGTCTTAAAAAAATAATTAAGAATGTTCATAAGTATTATAATAATCATACATTAAGAACAATCAAAAGCTTGGAGTAGGTTATCTGAATTTCCTTCTTTTGTATAGGTCATTGGAAGATAGGTTAAGCTTAGGGATAGTATTTAACAAAAATCTTTTTCTTTGAATAATGGAAGAAATTATGAATTGTTTATTCTAACCATCGCTTACTTCTATATTATTGGTTTAGCTTTTTATTGAATTTTACTCTTTAATATCACATGTTTTTATCGTTTTCGTATTTTAAATTGAACAACCCATTTTTTTTTAATTTTATTTAGATTATGAATGATATAAAATAGATTATTAAAATGGTATATGAAGACAAGATAATATTAATAATAGTAAATAAACTAGAGAAGAAACTAATTTTCACAAGATATTACAAAAACAATCGATATGTGTACTTGTTAAAATTTACCTATTTTATTAAAAATAATTATGAACCAGTAATTTATCAGCCTATTTTAATTCCTATAACAAATGGATAAATCAATAAAGAAAATTGATAACTTGGTTTAAAATGTGATTTTACATAGTTTAATAATGAACCATGATTAAGGGGAACAAACAGAAAAATAAAAATTGTAAAATTGTATAAATATTCATATTGGTTTCTTCATTATTATTTTTTCTTAAATGTTTTCTACTTTTCTAGTCGACTCAATATTAGAGTTATTTTGAGGAAATACTTTACTTAAATTAATTTAAGATGATTCCAATGAATTTTATTATTAAACTATTAATCCTTAATAATTTTAACTTGGTCTTTTTAGTAATTTAATATCATCTTTATTATCTCTATCTGGACTCTTAAAATCTCTTTGTTGATCTATAGAATGTTCTTATTTTAATTATATATCCTTTTCTGATAAATCTTAAGAATCTTAAGTGGGTTTCTATATTTTTTAAATTAATAGAGGTAGATTTTTATCTTTTCTTTTTCTTTTTATACCTTCTCTAGTTTCATATCTGAGAATTGCCCAATAATTATTAATTTTCTCTTTCATTTCTTTTTTATTAATTAATAACTTTCTTAAACAAGGGTATTAGAATTCAATATTTGGGAATATTGATTTAATTTTAGTTCTTACAATGTCTAATTTATCATCAAATTTATTAATATATCCTTCAAGCAAATGATATAGAATCAAAGCAATCAAACAAGTATTGATAATAGCTATTATTAAGAACATAATATATTATAAATAATCTAAATTTTCATTCATGCTAGCATATATTAGAACACCTAAACATAATGAACAAGAACAAGCTGCTGTTGACATTTAATCTATAAAATTTAACTTTTTTTATTTATAAGGTATAAAAGTAAATGAAAATGCTCCATATAAAAATACTATTAGAAATATAATTAATCCCTTAATAACAATTTTATTTTCATAATATGTCAAAGATATAATTACAAGTTCCTTTTCAAATATTTTTACAAATTCCCATAAATATGCTTTATTAGTATATTCATGATAGAAGAATCCCCATCGCTTTCTTACTTCCATATTATCTAATTAATGCTTATTTCTTCTGATCAGATGCATAAAGGTTAATGGTAATAAGATACTCCAGACTAATAAATTGGGACATATAAATATATAGATATAGTATTGATGTGTATCTGTATAATATTAATAGCTAACATCACTTTAGACCCATTCTATTCCACTTACAGTTCTAGAACTCAATAATGAAATGAATCCACCAACTAAAGTAGGTTATAAATAGATAAACATGTAAATAAATGTAGTATAAATGATTCCAATTTTAAAAGGAGCAATTCTCATTAATACTACAGTAAAATAACCAAAAAAGAATATAATCATATAAAATAATGGCATTAGTAATGCCCAAGCCATTCTAAAGTACAATAAATCGATAGTTGCAAAAGTCACTAAAAAGCAATCTAGTGAATATGCCATAGATTGAGTTGGATTTCCCAATACCTCCATAGACGAAACAAAGGCAGCAGGTATAGAAATTCTAAATGTTGTTAAAGATGCAATAATTTATAAATAATTAGTTAATTATTTCATTATGATAGATGCATTATCTATATAATATATTAATATTACTTTATTATATATTAATTCTAGCTCCAATAGATTATAAAACTTATTGATGTATTAAATTCTCAATAAATTAATAGTTTCCTCTAACTGATAAAATCATAGTAACTAGAGTGAAAATCGAAATTGCAATTATAATCAGAATATTAGATTCAAGAGTGTCTGAACAAGCTCCACAAGAATATTTCTTACTAACTGAATATTAGGGTCCTCTTATTCCATATATGTCACATTATTCACATAATGCACCTATATGACCTTCATAACAAGAGGTATCTCCTGGAACCCAACCTCCAAGACAATTGGATTACAAATTGTAGCATTCTTCAATATCATCATTTTTTGGAAAAGGGCGCCAATATTATTCTTTCAATTTTATTCTCACTGGAGTTACACTTTCCATTTAGATTGAATTAATGCCTTTACATTGTACACTATTCTTTTAAACAGAATATGTATTTGCTTAGTTACATGCCATACATTTTTATTCTAAATATGCTTCTCCAATTTAACAGGGAATAGTTTTCACATTCAAATAAAGAGCATAATTTTTATTATAAGAAATCACATTATAAGGAGATTGTTAATTATAAATTGGAATCTTTATAGAAGTGCATTAAACTAAATATATATATATATAATATTACATTTGAGTTATAAGAATATATTATCTTATAAGTATGGATCGAAGTAAATTTATAAGTTATCAAAATTAAAAGAGTTAGTAGATTCATCAAAAAATATAGCTGAATATGAAGTGAAATTAAGCAAAAATTATTTAGTATAATCTAAATTTAATTCATCCATCAAACGACCTGAAACAGTACAAGTTTCTGTTGATGAAACTGATTTTATAATATTTTTATTCTTATCCAAATTGTAAATTCTAAATATCCAATTATAAGGTATTTATTCTTAAGTATCTTCATAATAATATTTATATTATGATATCTATTAACCAGAAGGTAATAATATGTAATTACTTTTTAAGTTTGGTATATTGATAGACTAAATACTTACAATATCAATTATATATAGATTTGGACTATCAATAATATTATCATCATTTAAATCACCATCATTCTCTTAAAATGTAGTAATTTCCATTAATTAATCTTATAACATCATTAACCCTAATTTTTCTGGTATCTATTCAATTTAAGTATTACTATTATGGTAAATGAAAATCTATGAATTTTCTAGATTATTTAGATTATTATTCATCATATAAATAGCACTACCTAATTAGGCATCATTATTGATATAATTATTGTTAAATTGATCTAAGATATTTTAACTTTCTGAATCATAAACAAATATCATCCCTCCTCCAATTAATGTTGCTTTGTTATCCATAAATTGACTATCTATTATTTTTATACTCACTCCTATAATTGAAATACCAGATCCTATTTAAGCAGAATTACTTTAAAACAAACTCTATTACAATTTAATATTATATTTTTAGGTTGGAGTTGAACTCTATAAGATTCTATTACTCTATGTAATATTGAATTAAGGTATAGTTTGAGTTGTTATAACCAAACATCCAAAGTAACCAATTATGTTATTTTAACAATTCAATTCAAAGATAGTAGAAGTATTATAAGCTGAAAAATCATAACTATTAATTAAAATTAAGCCTTATTAACATCTATTACAGAAAGAATTTTTGATAGTGATTGAATTCATATTAATTTTGTTGCTTTATTTTATATGACTTAATTTAATAAAATGTGGAATAGTCTCAATTTAATAAGTTAATTATAAATTAGTAAAATAACACAAACTAAAATCCTATTATGTTATAATATTATCTACAAATATTATATGTTTAGAAGAATAAAAAGATTTAATCTCTCTAAAAGTATTTAATTTAATGTCATTCAAAATATATTTATCTTAATATGATAAAGAATCATAATAATTGTATAAAGTACTATTATCTAATTTAGTTTATGATATTTATCTGTAATCATAAATCTCCTTATAAAATTATCTTAAATCTTCTTGTTCTGAACATATTTAAGTATTTGCAAGTTCAAACAATGTAGAAATAGATTAACATTTCCTATTAAATTTATAAATAAATTATTCTTCTGTCAATACTTTTTATTCTGTAATATTTTCAATAACAACATTCTATAATTCTACTATTGACTATTTTGTATAATGAGTAATTTCTATTAAAGACTGAGTAAAGATTGTAATATCTTTTATGACTAAATCTTATAGGATTACTTGAAACATATTTTTAAGGTCCATTAAACCTTGAATCTATATATTGATAAATTAACTAGATTCAATCTACAAAATACCATAATTCTATTTTATTAAACTTATTCCAGATATTATTTATTATTCTTCTTCATAACTAATATCAGTTAATTATTTAATAAACCATTCAAAATTATTATTTATTATATTTGTATTACTAATAATTAAGGTTGGCAACATTAATGAAGACAAAGAAAATTCTATATCTATTAATGAACTTTATATGGATGAACATTCAATAAATTAACTATTATTAATTGAGATTTATTATTCATACATAGATGTTTAAACATAAATACATCCCCCAGCTATTCGTGATATACTATGATTCATAATAACTTTGTTTAATTTAATATCATAACTTGATTTCTATAAATTTAGATATAATGATCCTCCATATGCTTAATCAACATATTCTAATGACGTTGATAGATTTGTAAACTAAGTATTGTTTATCATAATATTTGCTCGGTCTTAACCTAGAAAATAAAAGCCTGTTCCTATAAGAGATTTTCCATTCATAAAGCTAGTTTAGTCAATATCTAATTTTCTACATTAAATATGAAGATTTGAACCCTCAGATTCTATAGTAAATTAAGCTAAGAACTAAGAATAATTATTGACTTGATATTCATCTAATCTATCAAGCCAATTAGATTCCATTATATTTGTATAGTTAAACAAAGATTAAGATATTGTTAATGATTGACATTTTATGATATTTATTCCATATTGTGATTATGTTGCTCTATTATTCTATGCAATTAAATGTTTAATACTTATCATACTATTTGGACTTAAGATTGTAAAACAAGTTGATATTTCCATAGTGATAGACTCAACTAATTAATGTAAATGATTGCCAATTAATTATACATTATCTATAAGAATAGTTTACATTTAATCAGATTCAATAATAATACTTCCAATAATAGTAACTGGATTTGATATTGCAATAGATGTATTAAATATATTGATATTTTCTAAGATTATAACTTCATTTGTGTAACCATAATAAAAATCTATTATTTTTTGAGTTCCACTTTAACTAATGAAATTACTTGTTTATTTCATCAATGATTCATATGATTGAATATAAATGAATCCATTATCAATTCCTAAAAGTCCTTTAAGAGAAGCATCAGATATTTTCACTCCATATATGAAGTCTTAAATATCCAAACAATATCCATTATAACTGCCAAAGAATTGTTTTTAATTAGAACAAGTAGTATTACTAGGTAATTTGTTATTAAAAGGATATTGTATAATAGTGTTGTTTTCAATCTTAGTACGAGGACTTAGATCTTTCTCTCCAATAATTTTATTTGAGTAATCACATATGAATTTAGATACTTCCAATGATGCTATTTGTTATAAGGAAATAACTGATATTGATAATTAAGTATCAATGACAATATTATTTAATTTGACTTAATTCATTTGGGTTGCTCTGAATATAGCAGAAGAAACTGATTATCTTTATATTAATGATAATTCAACATAGTTATTAAATATATACAAATTTGATATTACTAAATTAGCATGTATTTCTTCAGAATTATATGGAGTTTATATAAGCATTAGACAATTTATATTATAACATGTATTTTCTACAAATTTAAGATTTGATATTTCAAATCCTTAAGTTTTGATTTAATTATAAAATTATTATGTATCTGGAACTTAATCTGCTGTTGTAAAGATAAGTGAATAGTTAGTAAAAACATTCATATAAATGTAAACATTCTATATTGTGTAAGTATTACATATAAATAATTCGGTATCATTAAATCTATTTCCAATGATATCTAATTAATTAATAGTCAATGTAGAAAGATAACTAGATTTGATAATACTTGATGATTCATAAAATTATGTCTATTTTATAATCAATTAATTTATTGAAAACTTCGAAACAAATATTTAATACTCATTTTGATTAATAAATAATGATGTACTAGTGAATATACAATCTTAAATGACTAAATTGTTAATATTTACAATGCTATAAGGTGTTAATGGAAATATAATATTATTTTTAAATTAATTATTAAAGAAATATACATTATTTAATTCTATTATATAATTATTTATTTTTTGTTGATTTAGATTTATTTTATCTACATATAACAAATTTTATATGTAAACATCCTTAAATTCTAAATAATTTATATTTTCTAAACTTAATGTAAATATTTATGAATCCTCAAATTTAATTGATTCATATCCAAGTTTACATTATTATATTTACAAATATGTTGATGAAATATCATTAGTTATTATTAATCCAAAATCATTGTATAAATTAGAATAAATATTAATATTTTTGATTGTCACATAAGGTAAATCTTATAAATAAAAATTATCAGTTATTTTAAATGTAATTGGTTAAATATGAGCACTCTAAATATTAACTTAGAATTTACTCAATGCATAAACATTCTTATGAAATTCTGTTATCAATTATGTTGACTTTTCAAATTTACATGTATAATCAATAGAATTAGTAAATAATATGTTCAAAGTCAATTCTTATAATGGTGCTTAATTCATAATTTAATATGATTGAAAAGTTTCCAAAGATGAAAATTCTATGTAAGCTATATCTTCAAAATCTATTGAATAATAATCATTTAGATTATAATGATATAGTTTTTAATTATCATTCAAAGTTTCATAAATATTATAATATTCCTCCTCATTACAATATACATGAACAGTAATTTAAGCTGTATGACGACATCTTTTTGTATTTGTTGAAACTGCTTGTTAATAAATACATAAAATAGGTAAATTTAAATAAGAATTATATGAAACACTTTAAAGACTAGACATAGTCATAGTCTAAACTTTGTAACATAATCTACCATATTGAAGTAAATTAGAATTTTCTGGATTAAAATAAAAATTTGTTATCTCATATTTTAATCTCTCTCTACATGCTAAACAATTCAAAGGACATTCTATACATTCAGATTTATCCTAAACTAAAGATCTATCATTAAATGTATCATAACATTCTCCACAAAAAGCATAAGTTGATTTAAAAACACAACTATTAATTGAGTCATCACTTACAATTTAATTCTCAACTTAACAATTACTACTGCAACCTAAACATTCGTTTCCATATAATTAATAACCAAAATTACAAGATGTACATTAAATTTTTATAGGAATATCATTTAAAAAAGTTTCCTTTAATGAATTACTAATAGGTTCCATTTTATATAAATAATCTGTAAAATTATAAGTCTAAGAGTATTGCCAACATTATTAACAATTATTTGGACAGGCATCACAAAAACCAGTAAAGATATTTGGATAATATCCATTACTACACTAAATACATTAATATAATGTTTAGGCAGCTCTTGTGAATATCTATCCTGAATCATCTATATATTATGTTTGATCCAAACTCTTATAAGAAAAGCAACTTTAACAATACTTTATATAAGAAGTACATGAACTAGAACAAGTATTACTTTGTTAATTCAGTATAATATTATTCACACATTATCTACATTTTAAAGTTGTATCTTCATATTTCCTATCACATTAATCTAAAGCTGGAACTGAATGTACACAACTTTATTTATCTGCACTAACAGTATAACCACTTATGCATTTAAAACATAATAAATTTGATACAAGATCATCAACTTTACTAGGTTCAAAATCATAATCCATTGTTGTAACATCCCCTCTTATATTAAAATAACACAAATCACATTTTGGTATTTGACATGTTACACAGTCTATTCCATTATGACTTACAAAACTTTTAGTAGAACATTATCTACATCTTTTAATATATTTATTTTATTAGATTCTATCAAGAATCTTTACCATTGTTCTAGTTGGATAACGATATTGAGCATTTGATGAATAGGTTACATACTCACATCTTTAACATTCATTACCACACTCTTCACATTTTCTCTAATCTAAAGAGGCTACCATGCCTTCTTTACATTTTGTACATATTGTTTGCAATTAAACAATAAAACAATTTAAACAACCATTTTCACATTTTTGACATAACCCATTTTATATCATATAACCATCATTACACTAAGTACATTATCCATTTGAACATTTCAAACAATCTTATGGACAACTAATACACATTTGATTTTTAAATTCATAAGTTAATAAACACTCTATACCCATTATGCTACTATCTTCAGCATAAGGTGAAGTAATACTATTACAATTTTCAGTTGTTTCTGGTATACAAAATCTCTTACAACCTGAACAAATATAAGTTTCATATATATATTGAACCTATATACATAATATAATGCATTTACATCTCTTGTTATTGAATCCAAATTAACTCCATTTGAAATTGATGGACCAATAAAATATAATTCAGTGTATTCCTTTGATTTACGAACATATGTTCCTTTTATAAAATCTCCACTTTCAATTGTATATTCATAAGAACAAGTTCTATTACTTGACCAGGTATAAGGATGTTCGACACAATCCATGCAATATAAAGTAAAGCTATCAATCACTTTTTAATAAGGACTACATAGCTATCTTTTCTTACCATTATACACAGACATTTCCAAATTAAAGGAAGTATCCATATTCACATTAAATCTATTAGTTTTCACAATTAAATTATCCTAATGAGCATAATTCCTAACAAACTCCATTTTCAGATGTTTTACACCCCATTTCTATTTGTTATCTAAGAATATGTATTATATTTTACAAGATTATCTAATTTCTTATAGTTGGCACAAACTAAATTAGGGTAATAGTAAAAAGAAGTAACATTAATATTAATTTTTAAATTATTTTTTATTTATTCAGTTTATCATTAATACCTGTAAATATTTAAATATGATCACATAATTATTCTGTCTTTAATAATTGTTAATTTTTAGGAAATTCTTGAATGATTATTTTATATTTTTACAATATATAATAAAAAAAGCATTATATTTTTTAGATTTTAATAATCAATATCATTATTATTGATTATATCAAAATATGAAATAGAATAATTAATAATTATTTTGTCTACACTTTGGATTATTAAATATTCTTACATTGTGTTAATTAATAAATATAATCATCAATTATATAATAATATAATTGATAATTTTGTCATTTAAAAATAATATTTTTCATAATCCTTATTAATTATAATATTATAAAAAATATTATAAGAAATTCTTATTTATGTAATTTTGATATTTTATAGTTGGATAATAAAAACCAAATTAAAATGTTTAATTTCAATTCTGGGTTAATTCTTCTACAAAATCTTTTAATAAACCTTTCAAATCCTCAGTAATTTAACTAACCAATTTAATTAAAGTTTCATTAGTTTTGGATATAACAAATTACAATCTTCCTTCTTCAGTATCATTCTTTTATATTTCTAATCTAATAAATATCAATTTATATATAATACTTATTAGAAATCTTTTCTTCTCTTAATCTTTTCTTTTCAGCAAACCATTTGTAGATTTACTTCTATATTTATTCAAAACTATATGTCAAACTATTTAATTAAAATTCAATTTATGTAACTTAATTCATTATAGAATTTTAATGTTTAGAATCTAAATATCTCTTATAAATATTTACAATTTGATTAAAATAATTTCTAAGTCTCTAAAACATACTTAATATTCTCTTCAGTAACGATGGATGATAATTATAATGTAGAAATTTAACTAAATTTATCAATTGGTTCATAAAATTAGTTTAAACACTATTTAAATTTGTTTAATTCAAGTTTCTTATTTTCAAGGTTCTTATAATGTTATTAAACTTATCTATATTCTTCTTAAAATTTAGCTTCTATTTCTTTTTCCCCTTTAAAATAATCAACAAAATCCATTATAGATTTACCAACAATCATTTCCTTTAATTTTTATTTTCTAGTAAATTCATCAGGATCAGGTAAAAAGGTATCCTCATCTTAATTATCTCCTTTACAATATCTAAGTTCTTTTAAAATTAAATCAAATTTCTTATCATTACTTAAAAAAGACAGCAATATCTAATCTTCCTTATACTTAGTTAAATATTATAAAAATAACTACAATTATTCTTACCTTTAGGATATAAACTCTGCATTTTCAACTACCAGATTCTTTATACTAGCAATAACACCTTCTCTCTCTGGTAAACTAGGAATTATATCTCCTAATTTGGACTTTGTAAAATATTATTGAAGCATAGTAAAATCAGTATATCTTCTATGAACTTAATATTTAGTATATGTTCCTTAATGAGGGTCAGTACGAATTTCTGAACATACTGTGTATGTGTAATAAGTTTATGAAAATGGTCCATCTTTAAATGATTAATAACCTGGAATCCAAACAAATATATCTTTAGACTCATCTCTCTTCAAAAGATCATCTTCATCTTCACTAATTTCAATAAAATCAGGTTTTTTTTCTTAGATTTTAGGAGGTATTACATTAGATTCTGTTATAATAACTTAATTATTATCTAAATATTAAGTAATAGCATCATTATTCCCAAATGTAAAGGTAATGTTACTTTATTAAACAGTTTTATTTTCATTTATATAAATGTCATCAATTTCATTTATTATAGGTTATTTATCTTCTTTGAATTAAGTATTATCTTCAATATTATTTTCAATTATTTTTTAATCTTATTTAGTTTATTCATTGATATTATTTTATATTTAAACTTAATTTATTATCTCATTACATTATTCAATTTCATTTATAATTTATGTTGATATTTTCTCCATATTTTCAATGTTTTCTACTTTTTCTTTTTAAATTTATTAATTTGGATTACATTTTATCTCTGAAGGGGTTGAACTTTTTTATCTTTCTAAAGGTGGTGGTTCTTTTACTAAATTTTATAAATTTTTAAGAGCAATCATTGACTTATCTAAAAGATCTTCTGGATTTGGAGGTTAAAATGACTTTTTCAAGTTCTATTTGCTGTTGACTCTAAGTGGGAATTGCAATTTTATTGTATTAATATTACAAGTTTCAATGTCCACTTGATTTTGTAAACATTATATATATCTGAGAGTTGTAAAGAATCCTTCTCTATTCAATTCATCAGATTTTTACTGAGAGAATACTTTTTTTAATATTAAATCAGCCTGAGCTTCTGTAATAGAAAATTAACCTATTATTATTTTTTTAGTTTTTTTAAAATCTAAATTGACTTTTGCCTTCATCACTTTATCATACTTTTCTTAATAAGAACGTAATTCATTTTGGTTTAATTCAAACAACATCTAAAATATAAAAAATAATAATATAATATTTTTCCACAAAATTGCTATTTAATTGAATATATATCAAATATATAAGTAAAAATAAAAAACTATTCAATTAAGAAATCTATATCAAATATAAATAAAAATAATTTATTTTATCTTCCTAAAAAATAAATAAAGTATTTTATTTTTACAAGATGATTATTATACTGTGAAGAAATATATAGTATTTTTGATAATTTATCAAATTAATAGATTTACATAAATATTTAGTTAGAATCCAGCTATTTTATTGATTAGATATGTTGTGAAAATAAGATCAAAAAATTTTTAATTTAAACATAGAGTACAATTATCATTCAAAAAACCAATAATTTTTTTAATTCACTTTTAAAAATAGTCTAAAATAAACTATCACTTAAATCAAAAATTCTATATTGAAATAAAAATCAAGTTAATCCTTTTTTCCTAAGGATACTTTAAAAACAGCAATAATTTTATTTATATAAAATATTTAAATATTATTTTTATTGCAGTTAATAACAATGTCGAATTCTCTTAAATAATCTGCACCTTTAGCTACTATTAATCAGAAAGGCAATAATCCATTTCCAAAATATGAAGACATCCGTATAGGTCCTCCTATTGTACGTTCCAATCCTTAATAAATTAAAGACAAACCTTACTTTTAGCAACAAGATAAAAAGTTAAGTCAATCCTAAGTTCATAAATAAAAAGGATAGCAAGAATCAGTAATTGTTTAGCATATTCGAATTATTTTTATGTTTTATGTATAATTTGGCAATAAAACAAACATTTAATATTTAAAATCAAGTAAATTCATAAAAGCAATGGCAGATGCTGAAATAATTACATAGGGTAATTTTATATAATTAAAATTAGAAATAACTAGCAAAGATCTTGATATTTTGTATTACTAAATAACAAAAAATACAGAAACTCTAACATTAGATTAATTTAAAGATTTACTTTTAAAAATAGCAACTAAATTATATAAAATTCCTGAATAATCAAAGTCTTTTGTTTTACTTTATAAAAATCATTTATCAAAGTTATTTGAAAAAATAAATGATTAAACAGATTTTGGTTAAGATTTAAAGAGAATTGAAGCATGTCGTAGTTTAATAGATGAATAATTTTTGGAAATAATATCTTAGGTATAAGGATTATTGTGTAAAATACATGGATATATATTTTAAGATTAAAGTTAAAAGATTTCTTAAATTTAAAGTTAATACATGCATTTTTTATAGTAATTTGAAATAATTCCATTAATTATTACTTAGACAAAAGGTTAAATGATATTTTTTGATTTATTTCATCGGGATTCAATTTTAAATTTAAAGAATGATGGAAAATTTATATTTAATTTTTCAAAATTTGTAGAAAGTTTATTGATTATATCATTTCATTAAGTTTAAGAAGACAATTAAAATGGATTAGATTTGTTTTTTTAATTACTTGAAAAATTGGAGAATTCTCAAGGATTTTAAAGTTTTTCAAAATAAAATAATTAAACAAAAAATGAATAAACATAATTAGTAATGGCATTAAGTAGAGTTAATTCTGCAAAATAGAGTAGAATTTCAACAGTTTATTAATAATAATAATAATCAAATTCAAATTTAAAATAATCATAATAAATAGTTGAAGATAGTAAATAATTATAATATAGTTAATAAATACCTTATGAAAAAGAGTTAAGAAATGTATTCGAATATTATTCATAAATAGGAGAACCTTTAAATTTAGTAAATTTAAAAAGTATAAAATATAAAAAACTTCTATAAAATTGTGGTATAATAGGAACTTTAATAACTTAAGTTGATGCAGATATGTTATATATTTAATCAACACCTAAAAAAAGATTGGATTCAACCAAAAGTCCAAAATTTAAAGTTAATAAATTATATGATAATGATAATTAAAATGGTAAAATGGATTTTACAAACTTCTATAATTCTTTATAGTTAATAGCAGAGAAATTTAATGGCAATGATATTACAGGATTGATTGAATAATATTTGATACCACATGAAAATTAATTAAGAATAGAAAAATAAGAACATATATTATAGATTTTAATGTTAATTTTAGATGATCCAAAAATAGTAAGTGAATTTATAATTATATATAGATTAAATTATATGAAATTATGTAAGAACATTTTGAACCATATTATAATCATTATACAAAAGATTTAATGACTTTATCAGGTTTTATGAAATTTTGTTAAGATTTTGAATTGGCAAATTCAATGGTATCAAAAGGATAACTTATGCATGTTTTTAAAGCAATTGCATCTTTAAATAATACTGATACTATAGATAGACATTAGTTTGTTGAAGCCATAAGTGTTATCGCTATTTTAATTTACAATAATGTTAATGATAATGAATAAAAAGTAAATATTAATCTAATCAATAGATTATCTATTTATTAGAAAGAATAACTTAAAGTGATGGAGCTGTTAAAGTATCTAAATAATTAGGAATAATGAAAAATCCATAAAATACAAATTTAATTTAATTGTTTCGTTATCAATCTTATAAAGAAATAACAAACAAAGAAGAAGTAAACTTTAATAATATAGTAAACTAAATATAAGATGATTTTTGATTTAATATATATATATATTGATATATTTATATAATAATTATAAAATTTTCAATAATAATAACTATCATGATCATCATTATATGACTTTTCTTTTGCAGCAGAAGACTAAAAACTTTTAGAAGAACTGGATAATCCTTAATTTATTTTAAAAGAATTTTCAGATTCATCATCATAATTTTAATAGCTTATTTCATTAATTTCTTTAATATCATCATCATCTATTTCACTTTATCCATCAAAAATCTTTCTCCATTCTGGGATTTCATGTTGAGGATTATTATTTTACTTATTTTATTATTATTATTATTATTAGATTTAATTATTATTTCTCTAAGGAATATTGTTGCCAAATTATTAAGCAGCAATGAGTTACATTTCTTTAAATAAATCAGCATCTTCTGCTTTTTTTGAATCCAATTAATTATATCTACATTTAGCAATATGATTCTCCATTTTAGATTTAAGAACAATATGCAAACAATTATATGGACAAGTATCATATTTATGTCCTAATTTCTATTGTAAAATAATACCTTTTTCTCTTTTATCTTTACAACCTTTAGTTATATGAAACCATAATTTACTAAATGGCATTTAATGTTTCTTATTATATGGACATATAACTTCAAAATCATGACGAAAGTCTCCTTTTTTAAAACTCATTTATTTGAATGATTAATAATATAATTTAATAATTTTATAATGATTTTTCATTATTTTAATGTACTCAAAGCACAACACATTCCACAACAACCACAACAAAATAAAATTGATATAATTATTAGATATATAACTGTAAATGTTCTTAAGCTTCCACATGGTTCTTATAAATAAAGAGCATACTTTAAATCTAAATAATTTAATAATTACCGCAAACAATACAATAAAAATAACTCCAACTATTCCAGAAAGTAGCTATATGCAATCAATACCTGAATTACATCCTTCATCTTTTATTAATCTTGATATCATCCATATTAAACTATAAAAAAATTCATTTGAAAATTAACATTATAAATATAGCAAAAGTAATGCAAAAAATCGAATAGTTATGTGTATAATTTCTCAATTTAAAACAATCTTCACTTTCTATTTAATATTTTCATATAATTTATTTTACCATATAATTCTTCTTGAGATGAAAAATAATAAAATGATCCTCCAATAATTGCAGATGATATTAGAGTTAACCAGGCAGCTTATTATCTTGTTTTAGAATCCATTTTAAATAATATTTAATTAAAAACGATAAGCAAGATATATTATATATAAAAGTTCTTCTAATAAAGAGAAGACCAAACCAAAATCTTGATATTTTATTGATTGTACAAATGTTTTCTCATCATTTTTGGCTTGATGCTACTGCTGCAAGGCATACTAAACAGCAACTCAATAAAAATCCAAGAATTATTAAAATTGTGAAAACCCACACCAATGTATTCAAACTTCCACATTCCTCTTTTTATGCCAAAGCAATCTTTTATATTATTAATCTTTTACCCATAACATTATCCAAATTACAAAAGAAAATATTCCATAAACTGTGTTCATTACTCCCTCTGCTGACAAAAGAAAACTAGTGCTATTAGTGCTGCAAGAATAAATTAACAATAGACTATAATATATATATTCTTATACGTATGAACTAAAACAAGTAACAAAGTAGCAACACCTAAAATATAAGAAAATTTTTTCAACTAAATGCAACTATTCTCATCACCTAAAAATCAAATAATTATTACCATAATATCCAGGAGTGGTTGAAAACAAATAAAATAATAATCCGTATATTGCTTAGAAAATGATGGTACATATTTATGAAGTCCAAACAGTAGAGTTCTATTACTTTTACAACCTAATAGTATAATAATTAAAGGGGATAACCTATTGCTTTCTATATTAATGATTTGGTTGAGATTTTCCAATTATTCGTTGTCCATAATTTCAAAAACGATAAATAAAATAATCACTTCTTGTTATTAGATTTACAATTATGATTCACAGTCCTTAACTCAAATTTCTTTATTGTATAATAAAAACAAAAGAAAATCAAAAATATATCAAAATATACTTCGCAAACAAATTCTATTTTATTATGAACCATGGTGTTTTATAATATTTTAATCACAAATAAACGAAAATCTCATATTAAAAAAAAATTTTTTTATAAAATAAATATTTTCTCCCCTTTTTCTTAATAGAAATATATGTAATAGTAACATAATCAAATCTATTAATTATTTCTTCAAATTTGTGTGGTTTTTAAGTTATAATATATTAAATATTTTATTTCTCTATTATATTAATTTTATAAATTATTTATATATATAATTATTGATAATTATTTTTACCTCAAAATATTTTTATGGATATCAGTTTCTTTACAATATTTTTTGATTTTTTCATAAATGGTAGTAGATGATTATAAAAACTAGTCAGATTTCAAAAGGAATTGTAACATACTTCCTGGAGGTTGACAATCCATATCTTAGTTTATCTTCTAATATTAATGGTTAGTAAAAAAATACTAGTTAATATTATAAGGAGAATTGAGTTAATGTTCTTCAACTACTATGATGTGAATAATTTTTTTTATATTTTTCTTGATTTTTAAGTAGCATTTCTAATTCATTTCAGCTGCTCTAAGTTCTTTGATTTAAATAGAAACAAGTATGTGCTAATTTATTTTTTAAGTAATTTTTAATTTTTAAAATGATGTATGTTAGAAAAAAGCATTTAAAGTAAAAATTAGAAGGGAATTCTTAGTAATCTTGAGTATATAATATTATATTAAATTTAATATTGATATTATAATCATTCTAATATCTCTCTTACTTTAAATAACTTTGATTATCGAATAGACTCTTATATAAATAATCTGACTTTTTCAACTTCATGATCAGGAGTCAATCCATGTGATAAATTGACAATATATCTTCTAGTAGTTTATAATTTTTCAATCATTTAAGATACTCTTTTTTTTAAGATTTGTTAAGTACCATACAATACCTAGAAAATATCATAAAAAATACTCCAGGTTCAAGATTTCCTTGAATAGTTCTATCACTTTCAATAATTTTGATCAAGACTTCATCACTTACATTAGAATCCAACTAAAATCCATCAACCAAAGGAGTTTCACCTAAGTACATTTTTAGAAAAGTCAAGATAACTTCAACTCCATTTTAATCTTTAGCAAACATTATTAATGGAGTTGTTGGACACTCTTATTTAAATTCTTCTAATAATATTCTTAATGATGGAATTACAAATTCTTTATAATCAATAGATGGAATTTATCTAATATATAATGATAATTAATACCCAGCAAAGGAATCAAAAATCTATATAACTTAAGCTCCTCCTTCTTTGACTTAATTAATTAAATATTTAGCACTTTCTTTAGCAATTAAATCTAAAACTTTTCTGGTTTCTTAAGTGTATTAATATAACCATTTTTTAGTTTTTAAAAACATTTTGGATGTTTCACCTTCAACCATATAAGAAAAAACTGTGAATGGAGCACCACAGAAACCAATTAATGTCTATTTTCCTTATAATGCTTATCTTGTTAAATATAATGCATCATAAACATGTTCTAAACTTTCAGGATCTGGAGATTTAATTCTATTAATATCATCAATAGTTTCTAATTTATTTTTAATTACAGGACCTTTTTCTTTATCCATTATAATCTAAGAAATGTTATTAATATTATAATACTTCCATTCCCATAGCTTTTGGAAGTGTTAATATATCTGAGAATATGATAGCAGCATCTATTTCAAATTGTTTTATTGGTTATAAAGTGATTTCAGCTGCAATAAATGGATCTTAACATGCATCAAAGAAATCTCTATTTTTCATGATTTCTTTGAATTCAGGAAGATATCTTCCTGCTTATCTGAATTAAATGAATTTAATACCTCATCATCCAGATTGGAGCACGATCAAATTAAGCAAAAGATTAAAACGCATCTAATATTCTAGTATTAGTTTAACGAGGAAAGGTTTTATTGGTTTTCCTCATTTCTCTTAGATTTTCTTTGGTAATTTTTAATTTGTCTATTGTTTCCTTAAGTATTTTAAGAGTTTCAGAGTTGTCCATAATTTTTATAGATATATTAAATATAGAAATGTGATAATTTGAGAATACTTAAAATAAATAATAATTATTTAGATGTCATAATACCACTATTTATTCAAATTTATTATAGTAGGAGATGGAAGTGTAGGGAAGTCTTGTATATTGTTAAGATACACAGAGAAATAATTTCGAGATGAACATGACACTACAATAGGAGTTGAATTTGGATCATAAGTCTTTGTAAAGAATGAAAAAACAATAAAAATATAAATTTGGGATACAGCAGGATAAGATTCTTTTAAATCAATTACAAGATCTTATTATAAAGGGTATATAATTGAGAATCAAGTTTAGATCGATAGGAGTGTTACTTGTATTTGATATCACAAATGAGGAATCATTCCACAATGTATTAAAGTGGTATAATGAAGTCAATGATTAAGCTGCTTAAAATTGCTAAATAGTATTGGTAGGCAATAAAATTGATTTGGAATCCCAGTATATATTATACATTATATATTAAAGTCGTAAAATATCAACTCTTTAAGCAAAAGCATTTGCTGATTAACACAAAATGTAATACATTGAAACTTCTGCAAAAACCAATTATAATATAGATTAATTATTTGAGAATACAGCCATGGAAATAGTTGATAAAATAGAAAAGAAATAAATTGAATTTACTTCAGAAGTATAAATTATTATATAATTATTAAATAGGATAGTGGCATTAAATTAGGTAATTACTATAAATAATAAAATACAAAAAAATAAGAGGATGATTGCAAATGCTGATTATTTAAAATTAACAAAGTATCATCAGTTATTCACAATAATAATATGAATAATGTAAAGCATATCACAACAATTTGAGTAAATTCAAAATTATCGCATCTTTCTTTGCATATTTTAATATTCTTCCACCAACTAGTAGTATTTGGTTTTAAATTATAAAGCATTACTTCATTTACTTTTGTCACCTATAAAAATATATATATATATAATTTAAATACTTCTTAATGATAAAAACTAGTAGATCCCATATATGATTCATTCATAAAAACTAAAACTTCTTATGTATCCCAATTCAATAATATATCTGCTTATGTCCAAATGATTTTAGAATCTGTTGAAACTGAACTATTATAAAATGTGATCATCTAATTATCATTTACTCTCACAAATCCAGCATATCCACATCTAAATGAAATTGCAGTTTTATCTGTTGCTGTATCCTTTAATCTTAAATTTGTATCCTCAATTTCTTTATTTCCAGATGCAAACCAAAATCTAATATGTTAAGGTTATGATTCTTCAAATAGATGATAGAATCCATCTTTAAAACTTAATTCTGATTCTGCCTTTTTATATAATTTCAAGAACTTTCACTAATACATAAATTAATTTACTTTATCATTCCCTTAAGTAACAAATTATGTTTCCATATATTCTTCTGTCTAATTCATTATCCAATTTTATTCAATATTAAAACTTCCTTCACCTTTTAAATAATCTGTTCCATCATAGGCTGCATATATTAATGTTATTAAAGATGTGATTAATATCATTATGTAATAATAATAAAACAAATCAACTTGGATTCAATATAATTTTATAATTATATCAGATAAGAACTATTTCATTCAGATCAAAAGTTTAATAACTTCTCAACTTAAATATGAAGATTTCTTAAACTTAAGCCATCACTTTCATATCTATGTAAAATCAATAAAAAAGATGGCTTAAATAAACTATTATGTAAGAATTCGATTATTTTTTAAAGTCATTATGGAATTTAATCAAATGGCCAATAAAATTATAACAGATAATTTTTTTATCAAAAATAACATTCTCTAATATAAAAAACAAGTTTTTTAGATTTAATCTCATTTATAATTATCATAAGGAATTTTAATCCAATAATTTAGAAATGAAGTTACTACATCGTTATGGAAGATTATTAGCATAATAAATTAATATCTAAATGAAATACAATCATATCAATAAGTTTTGAAGGTTTTTGAAGATGTTTATTTGATTGTTTAAAACATAAAATTTGAATCTAAATTTAAGACTTAATTACCCAACCTTTTAATTTTGATTAAATTAATGATAGAATTAAATCTAATTCTATAATATTAGCACATGATACCACTGATTCAATTTTATTAAATTTTGCAAATCGTATTTAAAATTTATACTTACTTTACATTACTTTAAATGATAAAATCAACTTTATTTTTTCTTATATTGATTCCTCAGTCAAGAAGTTATATTAGTATAAATTAATACTTAAAGATTTCAGAAATTAAATGGGAATTATAAATTTAATATAATTTCTACATGAATTCAAGATTATTTAAGAAATTGCATATTTTATAGTGTTTTCTACTTCTCCAAATGGATATTATGATAAATATAGAATAATTAATAATTAAACTCAAGATTTTATGAATAATAATATGAATAAGGATAAGATAATTGATAAATATTCATTTAAATCTTCAACTAAATCAGACCTAATAAATATTAAAATTTAAATAAGTATGATTTTATAAGTGAAACTTTATATTAATCATCAACTTATTATAAAAACCACCTGTATTAAGTCATACTTATTCTTAATCATTTGATTTATGATAGTTAAATTTCATTTGAATTTAAAATTGATATACTTTAAAATCCATTTATATTATTAAATTAATTGTTTTTTTAACGATAAATAATATCATTGATTTTTATTTCAGCATGAAACTAATAAATTATTATATATAATTTGATTTATTATCTATATCTATTAATTTGATGTATCATAATTATATTGCCAAATGAATTAATATTATTATATATATATATTTCATTCTTTTGGTTAACCACCTTCAGGTGTTTATTTTCCTAATAAGGCTTTGTGAATATGAGGAATAACACCACCACCAGCTATTGTTGCTCTGATAAGAATATCAAGCTCTTCATCTCCTCTAATAGCTAATTGTAAATGTCTTGGAGTTATTCTTCTGACTAAAAAATTATATTGATTTTTTCTCACCTTTAAAGTCTTTTGATGCATTTCCTGCTAACTCAAGCACCTCTGCTGTTAAATATTCCAAAATTGCTGATGTATAAACTGCTGATGTGGTTCCTACTCTGTTTTTAGCAGATACTCTTTGCTTAAGATATCGATGAATACGACCAACAGGGAACTAAAAATTACAAAAATATATACTTAGAGTCCAGCCTTCAAAGACCTAGATTGAGGAGTCTTCTTATTCTTACCAGATCCAAACTTTCCTCCTTTTCCTCCTTTTCCACCTTTTCCACCCTTTGCACTCTTGGCAATTCCAGACTATAGAATAAAATAAATAGATTACCATATATTTGTTATTTTAATATACTAGAAAATTATTTTTTATATCTAGTTTAAGAATCTCAAAACTTAAATTTGATTGGTTTTCAAACTATAAACTCGAATAATTCATCAAGCTCATTTACTATCATCACTTCCACCTTCAATCTCATCTAACATTCTTCTAAATTGTAGATTTTCATAAACTTTAATTATTATGAAATTTTTGGAAATATTATATTAACTAAGGATATTAAATATACAATTTAAAACTTCATAATTATCCATTTAGTTATGCCTTTGATTTATTCATAAGTAAATATATCATAATTAATGTAGGGGTTCATTAACTCTTGGATTTATTAGAGTTACCAACTNCATTACTTTAAATGATAAAATCAACTTTATTTTTTCTTATATTGATTCCTCAGTCAAGAAGTTATATTAGTATAAATTAATACTTAAAGATTTCAGAAATTAAATGGGAATTATAAATTTAATATAATTTCTACATGAATTCAAGATTATTTAAGAAATTGCATATTTTATAGTGTTTTCTACTTCTCCAAATGGATATTATGATAAATATAGAATAATTAATAATTAAACTCAAGATTTTATGAATAATAATATGAATAAGGATAAGATAATTGATAAATATTCATTTAAATCTTCAACTAAATCAGACCTAATAAATATTAAAATTTAAATAAGTATGATTTTATAAGTGAAACTTTATATTAATCATCAACTTATTATAAAAACCACCTGTATTAAGTCATACTTATTCTTAATCATTTGATTTATGATAGTTAAATTTCATTTGAATTTAAAATTGATATACTTTAAAATCCATTTATATTATTAAATTAATTGTTTTTTTAACGATAAATAATATCATTGATTTTTATTTCAGCATGAAACTAATAAATTATTATATATAATTTGATTTATTATCTATATCTATTAATTTGATGTATCATAATTATATTGCCAAATGAATTAATATTATTATATATATATATTTCATTCTTTTGGTTAACCACCTTCAGGTGTTTATTTTCCTAATAAGGCTTTGTGAATATGAGGAATAACACCACCACCAGCTATTGTTGCTCTGATAAGAATATCAAGCTCTTCATCTCCTCTAATAGCTAATTGTAAATGTCTTGGAGTTATTCTTCTGACTAAAAAATTATATTGATTTTTTCTCACCTTTAAAGTCTTTTGATGCATTTCCTGCTAACTCAAGCACCTCTGCTGTTAAATATTCCAAAATTGCTGATGTATAAACTGCTGATGTGGTTCCTACTCTGTTTTTAGCAGATACTCTTTGCTTAAGATATCGATGAATACGACCAACAGGGAACTAAAAATTACAAAAATATATACTTAGAGTCCAGCCTTCAAAGACCTAGATTGAGGAGTCTTCTTATTCTTACCAGATCCAAACTTTCCTCCTTTTCCTCCTTTTCCACCTTTTCCACCCTTTGCACTCTTGGCAATTCCAGACTATAGAATAAAATAAATAGATTACCATATATTTGTTATTTTAATATACTAGAAAATTATTTTTTATATCTAGTTTAAGAATCTCAAAACTTAAATTTGATTGGTTTTCAAACTATAAACTCGAATAATTCATCAAGCTCATTTACTATCATCACTTCCACCTTCAATCTCATCTAACATTCTTCTAAATTGTAGATTTTCATAAACTTTAATTATTATGAAATTTTTGGAAATATTATATTAACTAAGGATATTAAATATACAATTTAAAACTTCATAATTATCCATTTAGTTATGCCTTTGATTTATTCATAAGTAAATATATCATAATTAATGTAGGGGTTCATTAACTCTTGGATTTATTAGAGTTACCAACTTATTATTGAGAATTCTTACAGAAAATTCGATATAAAAATTAATGAATACTAAAAATTAGAGAATCCCAAAATTTGTGAGCAAATTGATTGAAATATTAGATGTAATCCAATTAAAATTTAATAAAATAGAATTAATCTTATTAAGAAATTATAAGTTTCGATTAAAAAGGTGATGGTATTATAATCCATCAATAAGAACTATTTGAAAATCAGATACTCTTAAACTATTTTAAGCATAATCATATTGATTCATTTACTCGTTAAATGAATAACTATGGTTTTAAACGTGTTAAAAATCATTAAGGGAAGTATGAATTTAAAAGTCCATTCTTCTAGAAAAATAATAAGTATTCCTTTTATTGATATGGCACATAGAAATTTGATTCATTTGGTTATGAAAAAGAAACAAGAAAAAATATAAATAGTTTCACAATTCTTAGCATTAAAATCAGAATTAAACTCATTTTCAAAAGAATTAGACTAATTTAATTTTTTCACCTCTTCTGTATTTCATTAAATTATTTAAGTATTAATAAAGCTAATCTATTTTAACAGAATCTTAAAATAAAGCAAAATTAGAAATGATTTCTATTTCATAAAAGAACCTTGAATTGGAATAAATGTTAAATGCTTTAATTAATGAAAAAAAAATTGTATTGAATTGAAGTGATATTCTCAGTTTTATTTTAATTTTGTTGAACAAAATTGTATAGCTAAGAATAAATTTCTCATGACATCTTTTTAATATTAAATTATGGATTAAATTCAATAGAGATTATTATTTTAACAAATGATAATCTCTAAATTAAATCAAAACAAATTTAATTTAAAAATATTATCAGTTCTGAAGATAAAAAAGTTTAGGTAATAAGAATTTTTAAGAATTTAATAATCTTATATATATTCTTTCTCATTTAATTTAAATGATAAAGTCATTATGATTATCAAATATCTTCCTCTTAAACCATGTCTTATTTTCTTAAATACTCTATTTAGGTTTCATTTAATTGAATCATTTAACCATTTTCATCTAATAAATAATTGCCTTCATCATCTAATAAGAAACCATTTTCATCAAGTTAATAAGTAGCTTCATCATCTTCATCATCATCTTCATCTTCTCCTTTTTAATTATCTTTTTTATTCTAATTCTCTTCTTTTACTTCAACAATCTTCTCCTCCTAAAATTAATTATTCTTAGAAGGACTTAATGCCTTCAATTTATCCATAAAAGCTTCTTTTTCAAAATCATGTTCTACTTATTCCTAATAAATATAAATAAATTTATTACAATATTGTTTTATTCTGATAATTCATTTAATTATTAATCACTTTTACTTTCAGAATCTTCTTCATAATTAAATACTTAAACTTATGCTTATTGAATTTCAGGTTTTTTCTTATTATATTCATCAATCCAATTGATTTACTCAGTCTATTTAAATGAAAATAATAATTCTTAATGTGATTTTCTAATTTCTTCATTTGATTTNGAACTATTTGAAAATCAGATACTCTTAAACTATTTTAAGCATAATCATATTGATTCATTTACTCGTTAAATGAATAACTATGGTTTTAAACGTGTTAAAAATCATTAAGGGAAGTATGAATTTAAAAGTCCATTCTTCTAGAAAAATAATAAGTATTCCTTTTATTGATATGGCACATAGAAATTTGATTCATTTGGTTATGAAAAAGAAACAAGAAAAAATATAAATAGTTTCACAATTCTTAGCATTAAAATCAGAATTAAACTCATTTTCAAAAGAATTAGACTAATTTAATTTTTTCACCTCTTCTGTATTTCATTAAATTATTTAAGTATTAATAAAGCTAATCTATTTTAACAGAATCTTAAAATAAAGCAAAATTAGAAATGATTTCTATTTCATAAAAGAACCTTGAATTGGAATAAATGTTAAATGCTTTAATTAATGAAAAAAAAATTGTATTGAATTGAAGTGATATTCTCAGTTTTATTTTAATTTTGTTGAACAAAATTGTATAGCTAAGAATAAATTTCTCATGACATCTTTTTAATATTAAATTATGGATTAAATTCAATAGAGATTATTATTTTAACAAATGATAATCTCTAAATTAAATCAAAACAAATTTAATTTAAAAATATTATCAGTTCTGAAGATAAAAAAGTTTAGGTAATAAGAATTTTTAAGAATTTAATAATCTTATATATATTCTTTCTCATTTAATTTAAATGATAAAGTCATTATGATTATCAAATATCTTCCTCTTAAACCATGTCTTATTTTCTTAAATACTCTATTTAGGTTTCATTTAATTGAATCATTTAACCATTTTCATCTAATAAATAATTGCCTTCATCATCTAATAAGAAACCATTTTCATCAAGTTAATAAGTAGCTTCATCATCTTCATCATCATCTTCATCTTCTCCTTTTTAATTATCTTTTTTATTCTAATTCTCTTCTTTTACTTCAACAATCTTCTCCTCCTAAAATTAATTATTCTTAGAAGGACTTAATGCCTTCAATTTATCCATAAAAGCTTCTTTTTCAAAATCATGTTCTACTTATTCCTAATAAATATAAATAAATTTATTACAATATTGTTTTATTCTGATAATTCATTTAATTATTAATCACTTTTACTTTCAGAATCTTCTTCATAATTAAATACTTAAACTTATGCTTATTGAATTTCAGGTTTTTTCTTATTATATTCATCAATCCAATTGATTTACTCAGTCTATTTAAATGAAAATAATAATTCTTAATGTGATTTTCTAATTTCTTCATTTGATTTATTTTATAATTCTTAAAGATATTCAAACTAATTTTTATAATCTTATTTAATTCTTTCAAATTATTTGGTTAAACTAGATAATTCTAATTTTAATTATGTAATTCCATTATCATTTTCATCTTTATTCTAAAATATATTAAATTTAATATACATAATCAACTTTCTATTCTAACTATTTTAGATATAATTCTTGTTTTGAATTTTATGAAAGATGTTAATCAATTCTAAGAGTTAATTCTTAATATTGCTAAGACAATAATTTTTATGAATTCTGTAAATCAAATACTCCTTAAGTAATTTTATTTAAATCTGCTTATTAAAGTGTTAATTCTGTCAATCTAATTTATATTTTATCCATTACTTATCAGATTAAGAAAATGTTTTTTATTGGATCATATTCTAAATCTATTATAATTTTATTTCAATCTCATCTGATAACTTTTTACTTGCTTAAGAAATATTATTTTATTAATTATTTTAAAATGTCTTAAATTAAGCAATTGTCTATTCTTCTTAAACACTAATTTTTTATGATTGCTCAAATACATTTTTTTCTAATTTTGTTAATTGTTATCTATATTAATATTAAATTATATAATTACTTAGTTTTTTAATCATATAAAGCAAATTCATTATGTTAAGAATCAAATAATAATTGAAGATCTTTTATTTTTTATTGAAGATCCTTAATTGTTTTTTCTTCACTTAGATTATTTTGAGGAGCATTTCTTAATTGATGGTCTTCTTTTAATTTAACTAAATTTTACTAGTTTTCTTTTTATATAAATTTTAATTTATTATCAGTCTAATCTTGTAATTCTTTAAATTTATTTTAATAATCGTTTTAAAAATTAACCTATTAATTCATTAATTCTTCTTAAGCTTTTTTTATTTATGTTTTGATCTAAAATATTAATATTAGAAATTACTGATTCTTCAAATTATTTAAATTTTATGCTTAATTATTCAGCATTTATTGGATTTTATCCTCTAATATCAAATATTATAGTTCTGTTTGAATCTATTTAATTTTACAATTCTTTTATCTTTAGTTCTTATGTTTATGATTTTTCATTTATTAATTGATTGACATATTTCAAAATTTATTAAAATCCTACATTATTATCCTCTACTCTGTTACTCAAGAATGATGCTTCTTATGATTACATAGCAGTGCTCAAAGCAGAAAATGGAGAATTATGTTAAGTAGCTGAATAATATAAAAATATTACCCAATAAGAGATGTTCAGTGCTTTTCATATTAGCTATTTTTGTATCAGCTTATCTACCAGTTTGAATTTAAGTAGGTTAGTTATACAAGTATCCCTATTAAGTTTACTTTTCTTAGACAAAAATTGGTTTTCTACTCATTATGATTGAAAATTTTATGTAATTATTAATAATTAATACACTTTTGTAAATTACTCACAAATACTTCATATATCAAATATGTCATTGAGGAAATAATAAATTAGATAACTTTTATGTAATAATACCCAAAGAAGTTTATTTAATTAGATCAAAATAAATACTTTCTGACCATTTAAATAATAAATCAAACATTAACATATCATTAAAACTTATACCCATCGAATAAACTTTAAACACTTTTTCTTCTTAATAAACTTTGACAATCTTCTTCTATTTCACTATCTGCTGATATCTGATTTTAAAAATCACTATTACCATCAATACTCTTTTTATTAAAAAATATATGTTACTCCTGGTATATATAAAGATTTCATTTCTTTATTTAGCAATTTAGCCCATTAAACTCCTTTCAACCAAGAATGATGAATTATTTCTTCAATTCCACCAAATCCTAATCTTTATTATGGTTTACGAATAAGTAACTAATTTTTATAAAATGATACCCTATTAATAAAATCAATAGCTTTGCTACTAATATTAGAAGTTCCTTCTTTTATTGATACTTATTTGGCTAGTATTTATTCTCTTATTTCTTATCTATTTTTTCCATTATAGGGCCTTTTACCAATTAAAATTTCATATAGAATAACTCCTAATGCATAATAATCAACAGGATAAGAATGCTCCATTCTACACATAACCTCTGGTGCCATATACCCTGGTGTTCCAGAAGTATCATTTGCAATACTATCTTTATCTAATCTAGCTACTCCCAAATCTGTTAAATGTAAAAAACCATCTTTATCGAAAACTAAATTTTCTGGTTTGAGATCTCGATGAATGATACCATTCGAATGCAAATATTGCAATGCAAGTAGCATACAACAAGCGAAAAATTCTGATTATATTAATTTAATACTTGCTTGATCTTCAGTAAATCTTTTCAATTTACCAATATGGAATCTTAAATCTCCACCTCTTAATAAATCCAACACGAGATATAGATTTTCTTTATCTTAAAATGCAAAATGCATATTAACAATAAATGGATGACGAAGATGTTCCAATAAAAACTTTTCATTCATCACTGAATTGACTGATCTTTTAGAAATAATTCTAAGATATTAGTAAATATACTTTGCCTTAATCATTTCTTTTAATGCAAACTCTTTTTTTGTTTATTTCATTTCAACTCTCCACACTTTACCAAAGCCTCCCTTTCCAATCACATAAATAAATCGAAATGCCAACCTACTTATAGTACTTATTTATTATTATGATGTTTTAAGTTAAATAGCTTCTTTTTAAGAATAATTATCTAATGATATTTTTCTAGAATGAGATTTTGACAATAACCATGTAGATGAGTTAGTAGATGAATCTTTTAATTCATAATTTTGTTTCCCACCATAATATGTTTGCTACAACAATTAATTTGATGCTTATTTTGATAATTTTCTGGATATCAGACTTTAAAGTTAAGCTATACCTTATTTTTCTATTTTTCCTTGTTCTATTAATACTGAGTGTTTTAATGGTTTTAAAGAAATCATTGATGATGATCTTTTTCGAGAACATATTAAACAACTCATTTAATTGCATGTACAAGATTCTTCATAATTTTAACTCGCTTAAAGTTTTATTTTTATTTTTGAATGTTTATTTTACATCAAAGGTAGTAGATCTTTAAGAGAAGCATAAGATGATTTCATACTATCTATTAAATAAATTATATTTTATAATTTATATATGATTTTCAATTCTTATTATCATTAGATTTAAAAATAATTTTTCTTTCGTTAGGTTAGCTAGTTTTGTTCATTAATTTCCTTTTTTCAAATAGCCAAGATAAAAACAATTTTTTTCATTATATAAATAACTTTAAAAATACTTTAATTTTAATTAATAATAAAATTTATATAAAATATTGATCCAAAATGATATTGATGTCATTTTTTGTTAATAACATATTTATAATTTTTAATTTTAGATCGTAGTATCATTATTTAACCAATGAAATCATTTTCTATAAATCTATTTACATCTCTTCTTAAGTTATTTATTAACTAAACCCTCCATTCTTTTTTAAGAGTTCATCTAAATAACTCTATTTAATTGAATATGTTGAGTTAAAATATGAGGAACCATTATTATTATTATTTACAGGAGGTTCATATGTACTACCTTTTCTTTTATGAATTTTCTCCAAAAATTTAAATCCTTTTCTGTTGATGGAGCTTTGAAGAGGTTTCATATTTCTTTATTTTTAATCTTCTATTCTACACCATGGACAAGTGTATTTAAATTTCATGTCTTCTACTAAACATTCAATTGCATGAATTCCATTTTTTGCTTCACAACATAAATGTGTCTTAAATTAATTTATTATAATTTTAATACCCATTTGTCACATTTTTCCTAATCACAAGCTATCCATTTTTGACCATCCAAAAAATTTTCATTTTAATCACTGTAAACCTAAAATATAAGAGTAAATACTTAAGCGCAGAAATAACAGCACTTTTTCTCAGTGTATAATTCAAGACATTCTTTACAAAAAAATAGAATTTAATCACTAAATTTAGCAGGATATACATTTTATGATTCAATTGTACAATATTAATTCATACATTCATCTTCTTGAATTTTATCTTAATCATCCATTTATATTCAAAATAAAAATATTTATAATATCATTAGAAATTTTCATAAAGATAATTAATGATCATATCAGGGTCATCTCTATGAATTGCATATGCTTCAATTACTTATTCAAGTGTAAAGAACCCCATTGCCATAACTTAGGCAATAATGGGATTATTCATAGGCTCTTCATAAATTGTTTTTTCACTTTCTTTCAAAGCATTTTAAAATTAAGTATCTTCAAATTATTATATAAATTATTATTCCTATTCTTATTTGCTTTATTCCATAATCTTCCTTAATATTTCACTTTCTAAATTAGGTTATTATTATTATTATTATTATTATTGTTATTATTGTTATTATTGTTATTATTATTATAATTATTACTATTATTTTTATACTTATTTTTATTATTATTATTCAGGATATTATTAATTAAATTAAGCTTCTTGAACACTTTCTTTAATTACCATATCCATAAGTTATTCCTCTTCTTCTTCATATTCTAACTATTACAATGATTCTTTTATAGCAGTTTATTCACTATATTAAATTCATAAAATTACTTTTTTAGTTATTGATCCTAGAATAATCTTTTAGATTCATTAAAAATTATATCTAATTCATTACTGATACAATTCTCAAATTAAGCTCTTGATAATTATTATCCATATCTATTATTATTGTTTTCATTTTGCTTGTTTTTCTATTCTTGTAATTTCTCGAACATTTGTTTTTCATATTGACTAATTTCTAAACTTCCTAATAAGGCTGAATGCTATTTATCTTTTAATTTTATTGAGTTATAATGAGATCTTCCATGATAAGACAATCTAATTGGTCTGAGAATTAATAAATTATTATTACTCTTTATTATAAGGATTAGCTTCTAATCCAGTTTTTAAAGGTTCTTTGCTGCAAACATATATTTCAATAGGTATATCATAGAGTTCTCTAAAGGCTTATAATTCTATATTGTCTCCCCAAACACCATCTTTTGATTTATATTCCACATATTCATCAACATTTCCATTTATTATATAATCTTAGAAATAGTCCTTTTCTTATAGAATATATTGCATAGCAAATTTACGTAATTCTTTATGATAAATTTCATTGCCATATAATTAATCACTTATAGCTCTAAACATACAATTACCATCACCTGATACCTCTCTAATTAACATTCCCTATTCACTCAAAACAGATTATAGTGATGTTTCCATTTCCTTATATTTTTTTCGCATAGATAAAAGATTTTATAATTGTAGATAAATATTAAATCGATGCTACAATCTTAGAATAGATTAAGGTTGTTATTTTAATAATTTTCCTATTCCAGGTTCATTAGAGTTCTAACCAAGAGGATAAATGTCCTTCAATTAATAATTCTGATCATAAATTCTTTTATATCCTTAATGATGAATTAATACTGAGTCCTTTTCTACCTGTACAACTATACCAATTAACCAACCTTTGTTAAAATTATAAACTTCAACTCTTGTATTTTATAGAGGGACTCCAGGAATCCACTACTTACGAATTATTTCATATGAAAATTGTATCCAGAAAGTATTAGAGGAAAAAGGAGATTAAAGTCTTATATTTGAGTTTTAAATATCAACAATTTTCATAGTTATCCATTTATTAGTATTTGAATCTAAATAATCTATGAATTCTCCTATTTCTAATAAGTGACTCAAGACTTATTGTTCTTAAAGGCATTCCTAATTGACCTATGTCTATACTTTATTACCATATATTTTACTTCATCATCTTATAATTCTAGATCTATTTCTTCTGAAGATGAATTATCATTATTTTTATCTCCCATATTAACATTAGGCTATTCCATTGCGCTTTAAAAATTAAAGAATATTATTTTATAATTATTAATATTAGATTATAATAAAAATTTATATAAATTCTGTGGTTTAAAACAAAATTTAGACATGAATGTTTTATTAAAATAATGATAATGTATTATATATAACTAAATTTCATTTTTTGGTTTGAGCATTTACTTGCCTTTAAAATTATTGTTAATGAATTTATTCTTTTAACATTTCCATTCCACTTGTTAATAATAGTATTTGATTTTTTAATTACAAAACTTCTTATTCATATTATGACTGTTTTTCTAAGAATTTTTATTCCTAACAAAATAATTTAGTTTTTAAATTTGATATCTAAAGTTATTATTGTTGTATGATATAATTTAAATTATAAATATTGCTAGTGTTTAAAACATCTTCTGATTAGTCTTATTCTTAAACCTTATTAATACATTTTCTTGAAGATTTATCTTAACTTAAAAAACTATCTGCCTTTATTTCTTATTAAGATCTATGTGT